CCAGGGATCCACCACCAATCCTGACGTTGCGTGCTGCCTTGGATTTCTCCAATCCTGTTGGCAAAGAAAGTCTGAAAGCCATAGCTCTCACGTTGAATTGCACCAAGGACTGTTTGACTGTCAACAAAGTGGTACCACTGCTTGACTTGAATCCGGCCATGTTGCTCAAAGTACTTTTTTAACCAGGCGGCGAATACTGCTCCACAAAGCTCTGACTTGACTGCTTCCCCCTTGTGGTCCAAAGGGGTCAACTTAGCTTTAGACTCCACCAGCCTCACCATGGACCCTTGGTTACAGGCCCACCGTAGGTACAGGACGGCACCATACGCATGCTCGCTGCCATCAGAGAAGGTGATTGCATCAGGTTCAGCCGGTGCACCTGCTGGCGTAAGGGCTCTATGAAACTTGACCTTACTCAGCTGGGCGTATTCTTCGAAAAGGCTGATGGCATCTTCTCTGAGCTTTTCTGATCGCAAGATCCCAAGTGTCTTTGCTGGTGCTACATTTGGGTTTGGCCTCTTGAAATGCTCTCCGAACCAAAATGGCCCCTTTCTGTTTCACAGGCGTTGTTAGGCCAATCGGGTCATATAGTCCAGAAACTTGGCTGAGTAACTCTCGTTGTGTCAATGGGTCTGGCGTCTGAGCTCTCACCTGCTCCAGTCGAAGGTCTTGGCCAAGTCTCATTTTCCTCTTCCTTCTTGAAAAGTTTATCCCAACCATTACATGAAGCTTGTCATCTTCCAGGGTGTAGCCAAGGCCAAGGGCTTTGTTGTCCTCCTCTTTGAGCTGATTCGGCAGAATTACAGTCCTTGGAGTAACCGCCTGGTCGTTTCCAGACGACTCCCTCCTACTTTGGCCAGTGAAGACCCATGGCTTCAACTCGAACCCTCCTGCTTTGAGGATCTGCTCCACATTTCCCGTGATGACTTTAAGTTGGTCCAAGTTATCATGAGAGGTCAAGAGGTCATCGACATAGCTGTCTTCCTGCAGCACTCGACGCTCTTCCTCAAGATGGCTGAACTGAGGGAGGTTAGCAGTCTCTCTCATGGCGAGTTGAGCGATGCAGCCTGCTGGCTTGTCTCCAATGTTAACTCTCGTGACTGCATATTCAGCCAGCTCTTCTTCCTCAGAGTCACGCCACAGGAACCTATGCAAATGCACCTCTTGATCTTCCAGCCACACTGAATTGTACATTTTCTTTACATCTCCTAAAGCAGCAAACCCTCCCCTCCGGAATTTAAGAAGCACAGCACGGATTGAGTTAAGGACGTCTGGGCCTTTCAGCAGGAGATCATTGAGGCTCACCCCTCTGCACTTTTGACTGCTGTTCCAGACCAGTCTTACCGGAGTTGTGACGGAGTGTGGGTTGGGTGCGATGAGGTGGCTAATGTACCATACTGGGCCAGTCCATTCACGAAGTACATCTTTGGTCAACTTCATTGCAGCCCTGCGCTCGACCATCTCGTGCACTTGAGCGGCATAGGCGGCCTTCCATTCTGGCTCCCTGGCCAGTTGCCTCTCAGTCCTCAAGAATGTGGCCTCGACTGCGCTCCTGTTGCTTGGTAATGTGGCTGGATCTTCCACCCAGGGGTACTTGGTGTGCCAGTGAGGCCTCTCACTGTGGTCATCAGCTGCTACATATGTGAGCCCGCTCTTTACCACCTCCAGCTCCCTTTCTTCAGCGAGGGTCATTTCTTTGCCGCCTGGCTGACAGTTTCCGCAACGACAGCCCCCACATCTCGGAACACAACCAGCACCAATGCTTTCCCATTTCCACCAGTCGATGAAGCTGGATGTAGTAGCAGCACAGCTGGATATCTGAGGTTGGGCGGAAGTTGGGGCTCGCTGGCTTTGAGGAGGATGAATGGGGACTGCGCAGGTGTGTTCTTCATACTTTGCAGCAGCAGTTCTCATAGACCTGGCAAAGTGTGTCCTCGACGTATGGGCTGATACAGTGACCTCCTCAAACAGCTCAGGATGGGTGCCAGCAACTGTCTTCCCCATTGGTCCATCCCACAGTACGAGGTCCCCCACCGTTCGGATTCTCTGTGGAGCCAGTTGACCCTCCTTGTGACTTACAAGGAGCTGGATCTCTTTTGGCCTTGTCAGGTCGCTGAGCGGGACATCTGGGAAGAACTGTTGCAGTTTTCTGGCTGACACATGTTGGCACCTCAAGAGAGCGCCTCTTGAGGTCCCAACCCGGATTTTCAGGAGATACCGCTTTGTTTTAACAAAGACTTTCATGCCTCCCACCCCATGAACCACAAGTGTGATATCTTCACTTCTGAGATTGAGCCGACCTGCTGCCTCATGGGTGATATAATTGGTGTCAGAAGCTAGGTCGATCAGGGTCCCAATTCTCTGCCCAGCATTGGCTGTCACCTCCAAAAGCATCATAATGACGGGCCACTCCGCTAGGCCGCCCTCTGCCAGAAGACTTGAGTGACTCTTTGCGACGTGGGAGGTGCTTGTTGCTGTATTGCAGAATGCGTCCCGGCACTGTTGGGCCAATTCAGGGGAGAGCTTCCTGAATAATTCCTCCTGGGCTTCGGTGTAATCCCTCTTGTTGCCACCTCCCACTGCGCTGCCTTTGCTCCTCCTCTGGGCTGTGCTGCCCCTGGATGCTTCGGCATTGCGACACAGATAGTAGTGGTGGTCTCTCCCGTCCTCGCACTCAGGGTTTCTGCACAGAAATGAGGTTTTGCAGAGATTATCATCATCATGGACCTCCAGACATTTCCAGCAGGCTCCCAGTTTTCGCACTGCGTCCTTCTCTGTGAGCTTGAGCACACGAGCACACTTTTTGCAGAAGTACAGCTTCTTCTTATGCTTAATGTCCCCACAGACAATACATCCTGAGAGATGGCTACCTGACTGGTTTGCAGCCCTGGTTCTGGCTTGCCTTTGCTCAGGTCGGATTTCTTTCCTTGGCAGCTCTTCGTCCCTCAATTGGTCCAGCTGTTCATAGATGTTCTCTTGACTCTTGAGGAAGGTCAGAAGACTGTCAAAGCGTTTCTCTGGAGGAGCACTGCTCCTCTCAGCTGCATAGAGAAGCCACTCTTTCTTCAGTGCATCAGGAAGCTTGCTTTCGATTGCCTTTGTCACTAGAGGATTCTTTAAAGCACCGGTGTCACCAAGGTCACTCAGGTCTTGAAGGGCTTTTTCAACAGCTTGGATGAGCTCAACAATTTTCTTGGGCTGGTGACTTTTGACAGCTGGAAGTCTCTGGAGCTCCTCAACTATTTCGATGGCAATTGCTGTTTGGTTTCCAAACCGGTTCTCCAGGACCCGAAGAATGTCATCTGCTGTGTTATGGGACATCAATCGAAGATCTCTCATTATCTTGTCATCCAAACTGTCAAGAAGCTGGAACTTTTTTACTTCTTTTGACCCAGTAGGTTCTCCTTGCCTCTGAAGGGCCTCCCAGTCTCCTCTCCAGCGATGAAAGTCTCGCCTGATGCCAGTGAACTTGGGGAGGGAGGTTGGCTTCAGTCTGATGGCTGATATTGATGTCGGGTAGCTGATAGAAGCTGCACTCACAACTCTTTCGCCGTCTTCTTTAGCTTTTGCTTCAATGAACTCTGCCTTTTTGGACATTAACTTGGGAACAATCTGCTCGAGCTCTCTTACACGCAGCTGGAAGTCTTTCTGCTCAGCAGGAGGGGCCCAACCCTTCCACTGTGTGTGCAGCTCCTTCGCCCTCTTAACCAGTCCTTCCATGTAGTCGAACATGAAGTCAAAGGCCTCTTTATTTCCACCAGGTTCAAAGGAAATCACACTCTTTACTTTCTCCTCTGCAGCCTGTAGCGCCATCATCAGTTCCTCCTCCCCGAAATTAGCCCAGAGTGTCTTTCGAATGAGGTCCTTCAGCTCTTCCAATTTCATCTCACACTCGCTTGCAGTTTTCCCAATATCGGCCTTTTGCTGCTTGCTCAACCCGGGAACTTCATCAGGATCTGCATCCAGCTCCACTTCTGCAAGGTACTGGGCCTCCACATCGTCATTTGCTTCCATGACTTTGTTGGCCTCAGTTATGAGCCTTTTGAAATGGTCTCTGAGCTCCTCTTCAGCCATTATGGCGTGCATCCGGACAATGTTGTTGGACAGCCGGGAGAATTGTCGCTTTGCAGACGTCCTACTAGCTTTAAGCTGCTCCAGTGACTTTGAGTCAGCCATCTTCCTTTTCACCAGGATTCGGTATGGGAGGGGTGATCTTCAGTGTTACTAGGCCTCTGGACTTCCAGGCCTGGCCAGTTGCAGTTCAGGATACTTCGCTCCAGTCTTCGCACCAGTGGCGGTTTTCCACTGTCAAGTGTCTCACTTTTGTGAGGGTCAAACTGCAGCCCCCCACTTGAAAGGGCAGCTTGCTAAGAAGTGTAGACTCGATTACAACTCAATGACCCAACCATCTACTGGAAATTAACCTCAAAATAAGTAGAAAGACAACCCAAATTTAAAGTATCCCAATACTAAATTAAATACATTTTTAAAACACTATTTAATGATGATTTTAACCTTTAAACTTCACCAGATTTTAACTCCGCTGAATACACACAAATCAAGTTTTATCCAATTACTTTTAGCTTGAATACTTTTTAAAACACATTAAATATATGGACATTTGATTTTGCATTTCATGCCATAAGTAGTCAGCCACTCAAAAGCTCACCGGCTCCTTCTTCAGTCTTTGCAAGCTTTATTCCTGCAGTCTCCTCTTTCCAAGCTCTTCAATCTCGCTTTCTCACACTGCTCGCTCTTCACTGTCCTGTGAGTGAGTGACTCCAACCCCCCTGATCGCCAGATCCTCTCCACCTGGTGCATTAAAATCTCCGCCTCCAGCCTGAGAGACGCACCTAAGCCTACCTCCCAGCCAGAGAGGGGCTCGGTCTGCAACTCAACTCAACAATATCACTGAAAGCTACGCAAAAGCGAAATCTTTGTACTTGTAAAGAAGACTTAAATATAACATAATTGCATCTGCATCTGTTGTGTGTCTCCAGGGGATAATGGCCAAGGTGAGGCAGGTGGGCTTACTGGCAGCCGGCTGTCAGCCCTGGAACAAAGACGTGTGTGCTGCTAGTGGAGACCGCTTCGCCTACTGTGCTACTTTGGCTATATACGTCTACCAGGTGAAGGACTTGTGTGTATTTGTGTTAATGTTGTATTAAAAAATGAAGAAACACCGGACGGACAGAGGTCATCACAGATCGAAATGTTAAAATCAAATGTATTTAATAAAAGAGATGGTGTCTTGGTAAAAAGAACATCTCAGCTGAGGAGCCGCTGGTCTCAGCAACCAACAGGCCCCAGGTCAGTCCTTTTGACCATCCCTAGTGCCCGTCTGTTGTTTCTACCAGCGAACTCGAGAACAATGGTTCCTACAGGTATTTATAACAATGCTTATAGGTGTGAAAGTCAGTGTCCACACCTCTGGGAGTGGTCTTCTGGTGAGTTCAATGTAACTCGGATTTCAAATGACCCTTAGTCAATATCAGTTCTTGCGCAAGTATTACATGCATGCATTCCAGTTGATCACATTACATCAAATACAATCATAACTGTACATTTGTATTATTATATTACAGTTTCAATATTACAGTGGTTCTACAATATTGTCATTACTTTATTGATTACACAGTTTCAGAATCATGGCTGTATTCTGGTGTACACTATATGTATTTTATTAATTTTATGAACCGGGTCGTCAGTTTATTACTAATATCCTACATTAATAAGGGTGGAAAATGATTGAAAATCTAAGATGGTATTATGTTATCAGTCTTACATCCTTTATCATAGGAAATGTGAGTTTAATGTCGTGGTTCCCAAACTGGGGAGTTGTGGCACTGCAGGGCAACACAGGCACACAGATACACACACACTTGGTAAAACAATATCAATATCAAAAATTATAATAAATGCAATTAGGAAAAGATAGGGCACTAAATAATATTGTTGCACCTAAAATATAACAACGAAAGAAAACTAAATCCCACAGCTCAGTTTACAGACAAGTTGAGAGAGAGAGAAAGAGAGAGAGATTTTTCTTTTTGATTTTTAGAAAATCTTTATTTTACATAAAAAAACAACTACAGTCATTACAGTCATTTCAGTCATTAGTCACTATGGCAGTGGCCCGTCTTCCCGCTCAGGATCCTCCTCCGCCGGTCAGACGCCTCACTCAGCCCCATTTCCTCCATCCCTGGTGATCTTGAGGTTGATCTTCCGTAGTCGGAAGACCTCCCGCTGGGTGTAGTCTGCAGCACCCTTTTTCGTGCAGCCGTGTTGAACGGAGCGAACGAACTTCTCCAAGTCGGAGAAGTAGTCCTCCAGATCCACTCCCCTTTGATTCTTGGTGGCCAGCAGGAACGATTTCATCTGCCCCACCCCGTGCCTGCTGGTGACCGTCCCTCCTGAGGAGATGCTGTTTTCAGAGGCCCACCCTGAAGAGGATTCTGACTCCCCACCTCCCACCTTTCCTCTGCGCCCCCCCCCCCCCTCTTTGCCTGAGAGCCTCCCCTGCTGGCCCTCGTCTTCCTCTTCAGGTGGGGGAACTTAAAGACCCCCCCCTCCTCCATATCCTCCTCGCTGTCCGACGCGTCCACCTCGGGCAGGACCCCCACCAACGAGCGCCCCCCGAGCTCCTTCACCTTCCCATTGGACCCCCATCCCCTCTTTCACTCTGTCACACACACCTGCCCGCTGGGCTACATTCAACCCCCCATCCACTCCGACACTCACTCCCTCACTCCCTCCCTCACCGACTGGCTGGGCCCCACCTGTCCCCTCACTCACCCCCTCAGTCACTCCCTCACTCACCCCCTCACCGACTGGCTGGGCCTCACCCGTCCCCTAACTCACCCCCTCCCCGACCGGTTGGGCCTCACCCACCGCCACACTCACCCCCTCACCCACCTGGTGGACCTTCCCCATCTCCTCTCCCACCAGACCGACCCGCCGGTCCTCACCTTCCCCCTCTTCCTCCCTGGCCTCCCCCCGGTTCTGGTCCCCGAGTGGAGGGGTTCCTCTCCGGACACACCCTCGCCAGGTGTCCCTCTCCACCACATCGGAAACACCTCCCGTCATCCGATGTGGCGAACATAACATAGTCGAACCCGTCGATCCTCACCTTAATCACCAGGCTGAGAGCCTGGGCTTTGGTGAGGACCATGTGGGTCTGTCTCCTGTGAGAGACCACATGTCTCAGCAAGGGTGATTTGCACCCTGAGGACATCTTCCTTAACGGGGACACCACCTTCCCGTGCTTCGCCAGTTCCTCTACCAGCGCTTCGTCTGGGACGAACGGCGGAACGTTTGCCACTGTCACCCTGACAGCCGGCACTGCGAGTGGAAAAACGGGCACGTGCGCCCCGCGGACCACCACGCCGCTCGCCACCACCTCGCGCGCCTTCTCCAGGCTGTCAACAAAAATGACCACCGCGCGGTTCACCCACGCGGCGGACTTCACGCTCCCGTGACCCACCAACCCCCCCACGGCCAGACCGCAGTCCTCCACGGAGCACACGGAGCACGCAAAGCCCGGCGCGAGCTTCATGTCGTGCTTCCGCGTCATCCCCGTGAGGTCCGACATGCTGACCGGCTACAAACACGCACAAACTAACACAGAAAGAGACAAAAGACACACATACACACCACCACGCATTCACCCCACAACACACACCAGAAAAACACCGAAAATAGACGAAATAACGGATAGAAAACACAATTCAAACAATTCACCTCACGCTCCGTTCACTCAGCACTCCTTCCGCTCAGAGAGAGAGAGAGAGATAAAAAGATTAGAGATGTTATCTGCCAAGATGGACAGATGTGTTACTAGTGTAAATTTAAATCAGATGATAGTCTATTCCAGCCGTAATAGGAAACGCGACCACCACAATGGCACAAAAAGAGGTAAAAGTATGAAAATATAACACGGCATATCTGTCCCTGGGCTTTGCAAGTACTATGGTCTGCCGAGAAGAGAGACCCCAGTGAGTGTCTTAAAATACTGGAGGCAGTATGAAGCCCACTAAACTGACAAGAGACTGTTTTGCGCAGACAATCGGTAAATAAGAATAAGGCTCTGAGTCAAATATGTCTTTCTCCGTTTATTTCCTTGCAAGGGAAAAAAGGGTCACAACAGCTACGTGCTCAGTAGACTGCCAAGAACTTTCCTCCTCCCACAACAGGGCCAGGCAGTTCTTATACCTACAGGTGGCCTCCAAACCAACTTGTTGTGTCTCTACAGCCTGGCATCTTATCAGTGTGAGACACTCCAGCTCAATTCTTTTTCATGGCCACACCATCCCAGCGCTCTATAACCTTGTTTGTTCAATGAAACATTTTGAGTTACATAAATTTTTGCCATCATCAATACATCCTTAAACATTGGGGGGTGGGACAGGGGGGTCGCGGTGGGCCAATGTGGGTTACAGCTCCATCACCAACACTAAGAGGGCACCCATCGCCAAAATGATTCATGAAATTAAAAATAATAATTAAATAAAATACACAGTAGGATATTTTCAACTTACATATTTATTTTTGTTAACAAACTAACTCAAATTTAATTGTAGTGACCTTTTCACCTCTTCCATGTTGGTGGTTGATTGAGTACTTTTAATACTGACTGTCTTTGAGCGGCTGGTAAAGCAGAAAATGTGGAATGTCCAAAAATGAAGTTAAAGTTGAACTCAAATTGGGTTTATTCCAGCTTTTATAAATATCAATATAAATAAATAAATCAAAAACAGAAGGCAGCAGCAACAAAGACCAGATGTTTAAAGCTGTGTGCCTCCAATCAGTAGCACCTTGTCCTTCTCTTGGCCAGGCCTTTATACACCATCAGTACACTCCACGCCTGTAGAGGGGCGGCAAAGCACGCTGGCAACACATGAGCATTGGCTTCTACATGAATAAATAAATGGATAACAGGAAAAAAACAGACAAAACAAGGGCCATATTCTAGTTTATTTCTCCACGAGTTAAGCAATAACGTACGAGAGGCTGTACTTTATCATTAATAATTTTACAGTTCAAGGGTGTTGTTACTATAAATAGGAAGTTAAAAGCTGCCTTTCAGCAGAAAATAGTTGTAGCCACAATTGTGTATCACATTTATTTCCGAGAGAAATTAGTCCTGTGTGGACACATTGGTATGCAACAGCCAAACGGCATTGGAAACTCCACGTTTGTTAGCCTAGCGCCAACAATCAAGATTGTTGATGATTAGCTAGGAGATGGACACTCATTTGTGCGTCGTCTGAAAACATCCCAGGTCTCCTTGCAAGATCTCACACCATCTCATTCATTCACATTGCTCATGACGTCCACTTGAATTGTCCTATTTAGCTAAAAGGTGTCCTAAAGCTGTTGCAAAAACTCGCATTGATGGAAACCGAAATGTCAACGTACGATTGCTGCAGTTCCCTGTCCTTCTGCTTTTGGAGTCTCTTTTCTTAGCATTATGCTGCAATTTTTAAAAATAAGATATATCAATGCTGTACATAATAATCAAGAGTGACTTACATACTCTCCATAAAGCTGACAACACACACGTTTTTTTTTTACTGTTTTCTGTTGAAGCATGAGCATCATTAGACCAGCGATTCCCAAAGTGTGGGCCGCGAAGGTACTGCAGGTGGGCCGCGAGAGGTAATTTACAATAAATAAATAAAGTTTTTTAATTTTCAATTTTTAAAAGTTTGAAATTAATATAAAAATATTTATGATGCGGCACATTAGTTATGTGAAACATTAGTTGATGAAGCACAAACAATGCTGAGTGGGCGCTCAAGCGCGTGAGATATGGAGCTTGTTTCAGGGCGCGTCGGAGAAACAAAGCTGTCGTTGTTCCCGAGCACATAATGAGATTGAAGAGCGAGAGACGGTGCCCTTTTCTCTACAGTAGCTGAACCATCTTAACGGGGAAAATAAGTTATTCTAAAAGCAGCCGAAGATTTAAGGCGTGGAAGGCGAGGGGGGCGGCGGGAGCAGACGCACCTCGCGGCATCAATCGGACCCTGAAAGCACCGTCTCCACCTTACTGTTGAAAAGAACAACAGCGAGCGCGTAGAAAACTCATTCGAGCGCGAGCAACGAAGTTCGCGTTTCGCAAGCGTGCAAATACCTCGCGGAGACAAACTTTTGCTCGCGCGAGACAGACTTTTGCTCGCAGATGTTTGATTTTGGTTAAATTCTTAAGGTCATTTAATCATTATGTTTTGATCAGAGTGACTTTTGCTCGCGGATGTTTGATTTTGGTTAAATTCTTAAGGTCATTTAAGCATTATGTTTTGATCAGAGTTGGTTCAGATTTCAAATTAGGCCGCGGCATTCTTGAGTTTTGGAACCGCTGCATTAGACTAAGAATATACCACAATATACCTCACCAGACTGTCATGTAGCTCAACTTAAGATCTACCGTTCATTTCAATAATTAAATTACCAGTGAATTTTTCTAATTGGTAGAACAGTAAAACTGCCCGTATCTCCCTCCCTTCTCTCTTCATAAAACATGAGAAAACGTCAGTAAACAGCTGGACAAGGCTTTGAAATCACAGATTTCACTGAAGTTTTTTTTTAGGAAAATGTCGGACCAGTTGCGATGTAATGTTTTCAGCGGCGCTAATGTTGTGGTTAATTTACCGGCAAACAACGTCGGGGGGGATTGCTCAAACACCGTCATCACGTGTTGGTCTGATGCTGCAGCCTTTTGGCGCTCAGATCTGCACGAGCACCAAGAGGAAGAGGAGGAGGGAGGAGCACGGCGGGGCTTGTGAACATGTTGGGGTGAAATTCTCACAAGAACTCAAATAAATGCCCCGCCAAATATCAAAACACATTTTGGGGGAATTGATGACAGAGAGAGTAATTTGTATTCTTAAATATTGATGAATGAAGAAAAAAATGGGCTCAAGCAGAAGGGGCACTTTTCTTGTTCAGGGAAAAAGGCCAGGTGCTTGAGCACCATTGTGGGTCTACCTGTGCACGTGCCTGAATGTGTTGTTTGATTGACTTTTGTTTTAAGTGTCTACAGATAAGGACATTACTTTATTTCCTTCCCCCCTCTTGTTAAAAACAAATAAGGAAATAAAATGAAATAAATATTGACAGCAAGACTAGGTGTCTTGCTCAGGGACACTAACAGCTCCCCAGGTGCCTTTACGGTAGCACGTTGCTCACACTGCGTGGGATGGGTTAAATGCAGAGATTCATTTCCCCAAGGGGATTAATTAAGGATTTCTTCTTATTCTAAATTCATGTCACGCTCTTTGTCTCCTTGTGCAGTTGGATCAGCAGTACAATGAGTTTAAGTTGAGGTCCATCATGTCAGAACACAAGAAGACCATAACAGCTATCAGCTGGTGTCCTGACAACCCTGATCTATTTGCGTCAGCATCAGCTGATAACCTGCTCATCGTGTGGAACGTAGCAGAACAGAAGACTGTTGCCAGACTGGACAATACCAAAGGTAGACAGATTATTCATACCAGGTTTATTTGGCACACAAGAGTGTGTCACCATTAGTCTACCAACATATTTGATATACAGTATACTACCAACTTGGGTCTCTCTGTAATAACGTACTGTTAGAACAACCATCATAGCAAAACAGTGTTCATAAATAGTGTCTTTCTGTGATAAAATAACCTCCCCCCCTAACAGTCTCTGAAACTTTTAATTATCTATCTATTGTAGTCCATCTATTAAAACTCCATATGCTGCAATTAGGAGCTCTTCACTGGGGTCAAGACCCCACAAATATAAATAACTAATTAAAAAAGAAACAGCAGACAATGATATAAAGTCATGAGTATCAAATTGATTGACAACGGCAAATACAATATAGCCCCTGTGAGATATGACAAAAAATATTCTTCTGGTATCTGCAGGAACCCAGGTTGGTAGGCCAAGGGACAGCGGCAATATCCTCTGCTGAGTAAAGTATCACAGCCTCTCCTCTTCTTTTTCAGGTGTTCCTGCATCAGTGAGTTGGTGCTGGAACTTTTCTGACAGAGTGGCGTTTGTCTCCCAACGTGGCCCGCTATATATCTGGGTATATGGGGGTGCTGACCCTGGGGTCACAGTGCATAAAGAAGCCCACTCCTTCCTATCTGATATCTGTCTCTTCAGATGGCACCCCACCAAGAAAGAGAAACTTGTGTTTGGACACACAGATGGAAGTTTGTCTGTTTTTCAGCCAGGTACCTACCTACCTATGGGTATTTCCATACAGATCACTATAATTTTAATCTCCCTTGTACAGAATGTCAATGTTGTTTTGTTCGAAGATATATTCTGAATGAACTCTCTCTTAACTGCACAGTGAAATGAATTGCATCATTACCATCACAGAGTCGGGCCTGCAATCATTTTATCTTCTACAATGTTATCCAACTCTTTTCTTCTCATTTTGCAAATGCATGTTTCTGTAAACACACATTTTCATTATTCTGTCTGTCCTCTCTTGTTTAGGGAGTAAAGGCCAAAAGCATGTGTTGCGTCCAGAGTCGTTAGAAGGGACAGATGAAGAGGACCCAGTCAGTGCTCTTGAATGGGACCCTTTGTCAACTGACTACTTATTGGGTGGGACAAAACATACATAATACATAAATGTGTCTATTCATCACACAAAACTCTATGATCATAATTGCAACCAGAGAAGCATGATGATGAAAATATTCTCTTTCACAGTGTCTAACCTTCATAATGGCATCAGGCTGGTGGACAGCGAGGCCTTGGCTTGTATCACCGTTTTCTGCTTCCCCTCAGCTGCTGCATCAGTTCAGTGTTTGGCATGGGTCCCGTCTGCACCAGGCATGTTCATCACTGGAGGTGAAGAATATGAATATCAGTCTAGGACCTGTGTATGATCTGGGTTCCCTTCTGCTCTCATGTGTTTACCGCTAAGGTTTTGACTTGCCTTTCAATGAGCTGGTATGTGGAAACTGTTGATGCCACATGATGCCACATATTGCATATTAAAGAATTCACATGCCTTGTTAAAACATCAGTAATACTCTATACAGTAAATGAGGTTGTCTTGAAAGTCATCTGGTATTATGCAACCTTAAGATAGTCGATGGACTATATTAATACAACCATGCAATGTGAGGTGGCACGTTTATAGACCAGTACAAATAAATTTGCAGCATGAGAGAGACCTTTGAAATTAAGTAAATTATCTCCATCTGTATGTCAGACTCCCAGGTTGGAGTCTTGAGGGTATGGAATGTGTCACGCGCCACTCCTTTGGACAGCTTTAAACTGAAAAAAAATGGATTTCATGCTTTGCATGTCTTAAACTCCCCGCTTGCTAAGAAAGGTAGGTACATTTTGGACAAAAACCTTTTGAATATACAAACTCATGAACCAGAAAATCCATGCACCACAGCTTTTATAAGTCATAAGTATGGTTAGTTTCTAAATATTTTGCCAAATTACATTATTACAAGTTAAATGTAGTGGCCATTTGTCCATGTGATCAATAAACAACTTGTGTCAAAGGGCCACTGATGCACCACTGGTTCGTTCCTTTTACACAGCAAGAGAGTGTATTGTCCAAGAAGTCTTTCCTTTTGTTTGATATTTATTTTGCTAACAAGACAAGCCAACAAACACATACAATTTTAAGACATTTTAACTATTTAAGAATAAATAACTAAATACTAACTGAAAAAGTATAGCTTCCACAATAAAGGTTTACACTAAATCCACATCCTCAGAGTTGTGCTATCCACAACAGCTGTGTGTGTGTCTGCCACCAAAGCGCAACAGATGATATTGAGAATCTCATACAATATATATTTTCTTAAATAAACACAGTTGGAATAAAGCAGTCATTTTAACACAAATGTTCAAACACTGAGTAAATGTATCCTTTTGATATGGCTTCACCTATACCTTTTTATAGCTCAGAGTTCCTGTTCTCCCAGTGAAGGTCACCACATCAGTTCCACCAGTGAGGCTGTACCTCCTCCAACCTTGACTCAGAACTGGTCCTTCTCTCTGCCTCCCGGCCATGCCGTGTGCTGTTTTATGGATGGAGGAGTGGGACTCTATGACATGGGTGCCAAGAAATGGGACTTCCTACGGGACTTGGTACAACATTCTTTGTAAAGTCACCAACATACTCATGAAAACAGAACATAAGACTTGTAATGGGAATTTTACTTTTTCCTTTAATATCGTTTCCAGGGTCATGTAGAGACTATTTTTGACTGTAAATTTAAGCCAGATGACCACAACCTACTGGCCACAGCTAGTTTTGATGGAACCATCAAAATCTGGGACACAGACACACTAACAGCGGTTTACACCTCCCCCGGCAATGAAGGAGTGGTCTATTCCCTGTCCTGGGCTCCAGGTATTTTAGCTCTTCTTCTACACACGCAAACACATACTGTATATGCACACCGCCAACACAACAATCCATTATTAGGTTCCCACCTTAGAATTCCATGTATTTTTTTTCCGGGACTACTTTTTGAGGGACTTAGGTTCTTTCAGCCATTTTTTGTGTGTGTTTCCATAATGCTCTAAAGGCCTGCTAAGATAAGGAAAATAAAGGGTAAGGGTAAACATTCCCGCACATCCAAAAAACATATTAAATATATCTTGAGGATCTTTTTTGGACTAATTAGGGTCCTCGCAACGACTAGTCGTAGAGGAACCTATTGTATTTCATGGAATTATTATTATTTTCTCTAAGGAATTTTCCCTTTTTGAGGCCTTTATCATATTCAAAAAATTGTTAAATTTGGCATGCATATCAGAACTAGTGAAAAATGTGATAATTTTGGGGTTTCGCATTTGAGTATCAAGAAATGTCCCTATAGCGCCCCCTATAGGGCCACACTAGGCTAGTTTTTTCCCCCGATGCCCGATCGACTTGAAATTTGGTACACATGTGCTCTTGGACATGCTCTACAAAAAAGTTAATCATTAACTAACTAGATTTTCCGCCATTTTGAATTTTGTGAAAAACACGTTTCTGGCCATTTCTCCTAATTTTGCTGTGTCCGATTGTCACAAAATTGTCTACGGATCATTGTTGGGTCAACGTCCCCCTGCCATATTAAAAGATTGTTGATATCTTCCTATAAAATATGGGCTAATGAACGTCGCAAGGGGTGTGGCTTAATCTGGCAAGACTCATACAAACTTCCAGATAATTTGGCCTGCCCTCACCAAACATTTTCCATATGTGAACATTGAACCCCTGTACACACCCTGATTTTTTGAGAATATTTGAACAATAGGGGGCGCTGCTATTAATTGTTGAAAATCTGCCTTGGCCTATTTTCGTGATTTCTTAGAGTTGTAAAAGACCAATCTCCTCCCAGGGATTAAACCTGATTCTTTTCAAATTCGCGCAGTGTGATTTTGAGGACCTAGGCTCTAAAAATTGTATTTTGCCGGAAGAAATTCCAAACTATGTGTGTAGGGAGCATTTAAAAAAAAACACCATTTGGCATAAAAATTAAAGTTATTTTAACTCGACCATACTTTATCTAATCTGCTCCATATTTATCATATAGCATGAACTTGTAGACATCCATGAGATCATTTTTAACCTTAGTCATAGCGCCACCTGGGGAAAACAGGAAGTTTAATGTTTTGTTTTTTTACACCCTGCTCCACACAGGGTATGCTCATCAAAGGTTAATCTGATCCCTCTCAAAATTTCTTAGCAGAAAGTTAAGACCTTAATAAGGCTTCACTGTGAATATTATAAGAATCCGATAATCGTTGGCGAGATGGTGCATCAAAGGTGCGCAAAGTTGATGCTTCGCCAAGAACAACTAAACCGTTGTAACTCTACTGGACATCATCGGATTCTTTCCAATTTACACATGTTTGATGACACTCTGGGCCTGAAGAGATGTAAAGTTGAATCATGTCATAGCGCCACCTACTGGTAACAGGAAGTCAAATGTTCTAGTATCCAGTAAAAAACGAAGGTGGCATTTCGCGAGGCTTTAATTTCGAGAATGGTACATCAGAAAGTCCTGGTTATCACCGAGTGACACTTTGGGAATGTGTACTCTATGCCTGAAGTAGAAATACTGTGTAAGTATTGATTTTTTCCTTTTAAATGTAACCTGAAAATGACCAGATGTAGTCTTGTGATTGATATTTTGGCTCATGTATGGCATTTTGAAAGGCTTTAATAGTAGAATAGTACATCAGAATGTCCTGCTTATCCCTCTGTGACACTTTGGGGATGTATACTATTAGTCTGAAGTGAAATCATCATGTAACTATTGACAGTTTCCTTTTAATTCTGACCTGAAATGGACCAAAAGTAGTCTCGTGATGGAGAATTTGAAGGAAATTGGCTCATGTATGGTATTTTGAGAGGCATTCATTTTAGAATAGTACATTAGAATGTCTTGCTTATCCCTGGGTGACACCTTGGGGATGTGTACTATCTGTCTGAAGTGAAATTATCATCTAACAATTGATAGTTTCCTTTTAATTCAAACCTGAATTTGACCAAAAGTAGTCTTGTGAAGGATACTGAAGGAAGTTGGCTCATGTATGGTATTTTGAGAGGCTTTCATTTTGGAATAGTAGATCAGAATGTCCTGCTTATCCATAGGTGACACTTTGGGGATGTGTACTATCAGTCTGAAGCGGAAATACTGTGTAACTATTGATTTTGTCCTTTTAAATCTAATCTGAAATTGACCAGATGTAATCTTGTGATCTATATTTAGGCTCATGTATGGTATTTTGAGAGGCTTTTATTTTGGAATAGTTAATCAGAATATCCTGCTCATCCCTGGGTGACACCCTGGGGATGTGTACTATCATTCTGAAGTGAAATGATCATGTAACTATTGATAGTTTCCTTTTTCCTAATCCGAAATTGACCAGATGTAGTCTCGTGATGGAGAATTTGAAGGAAATTGGATGTTAAAGACAAAGTTTGCAAAGCGGCATTCCTGGCGTCGATCCTTATGCTTAACGACAACTGACTCTTGGAAGCTTTGTCCGACGGCTGCAGGAGTTCTTGGCTGCATTTCTAGCCGTCCGGTCGGTACCCCAACGTGCGGAGTTGCGAGGATTCGTCCAACACTGCTCGCAGCTTTAATATTTTTATTGTTTTTTCCACATTACACAAACAAAAAAACAAAACAAAACCAGGTACATCAGATGAGGTACAGTAAAGTAAATATTGCAAATAAATAAATAAATCAAACTGGTTTCTATTTATTTTTGCAGTTACTGACTGTTTCTCAGCAGGGACAAAAATAAAAATAGCCATAGAGGGTGGCTGATATGTGCATCCACAGGTATTTACAGTATACCCCCTACTACACAGCAAAAGAGTTAGGTGTTAGGCAAAAGTGTTGAAGGGCAGAGTTGAAATCAGACTGCAAAAAGTTGATTCAACTCTTACAGAGTCAATTGTACGAAAGAGCTGGAGTTATTAATCAGTGTCAAGATCAGATTCATTTGCGACACTTAGTAGAGTTAAATTAACTCTTTTATAGGTTTAAAATGTAACTGTACAGTGTCACACTTCTTCGTGTTTGGTTTAACTCTACGTACTGTGGCGCATGGATTGGAGAGGGTGAGCCGGGAACCACAAGGTTGGCGGTTTGAATCCTGGCTGCTCCATGTCCCATGTCAAAGTGTCCCTCAGCAAGACACCTAACCCATAATGGCTCCCCAGGCTAAAATGTAAAAACCATGGGTTAAAAATGCAATGTAAGTCGCTTTGGATAAACGTGTCAGCTAAATGACATGTAATGTATTTAACACTGGGCAGATTTATTTTTGACAGTTATTCCGAGTTAACAGTGTTAAATCAACACGTTGAGTGTTGATTTAACACTGATTGGGAACTCCAACAACGCTCCCGCGTTCCGTTACTCCAACCCACCCCCAAACATCACACCAACACATTCCCATAGGCTGCACTAGGATGATTGGCATCACATCGTGAGCCCTTCACTGACCTTATAAACTCAGTAAATGTGAAACCTCGCTCACACAAGATGTCAGTCCATTATATATATTATACAATATTTTTAGACTTTGATGTAGGCCAATTAAAAATGGATGGCGGGCCGCAGGCCAACAACGATAGTTTGGATATCCCTGCTCTAGAGTGGGGCACTGTAGTAGTCCCTCTATCCAACTTTGTTTGTGCTGCCTTTGAATGGATTTCCAAACCATTATAATCAAGAAGACAAAATATGATCGTCGATATGACAGTGCTGGAAAACAGCTGGCTGTGCCTAGAAAAATCTCCCTATGGAGGTGCACAGGGGGCATCCATACCAAATGCCCAAACCACTACAACTGGCTCCTTTCCACGCAAAAGAGCAGCAGCTCTATTCCGAGCTCCTCACGGATGAGTTTCTCACCCATCTCTAAGGGGTTGCCACCTATCGTCCTGAGGAAACCCATTTCGGCCACTTGTACCCGCAACCTAAGTAACCGGCCAATCCCTCACCGGAAACAACTGTCTTACTGCCGAGAACCCAAACACAACTCTCGCTTTGGGCGTACAAGTATTGGATGTCCCTAAGAAGGGAGAGTCTCACCCTGTATTTCTGCTGCACAGTATCTCAGAGGTCATTTGGCTTTTCCAGGTACACAAAACACATGTAGACATGAGCATTCCCCAAGCCCCCTCCATGAGAGCAAAGAGCTAGTCCGTTGTTCCACGACCAGGTTGACTGTGTGAACCCACCTTTCCAGTACCTTGAAGTAGACTTTACCAGGGAGGCCCGTTAGTTGCAGTTAACAGAGTCTGATGCTTACTGTACAGAGCTTAGATGATTCACCGCTTCCCCCTCCTAAGGTGACGGATGGTTTTCCAGCAGCACTTTGGTGCCGAGATTCAGTTATCTCCCTTGTCGCCCACGTGTGCATTCTCCCATTAGGACTATGGATACGTGTAAATGTGCTTTCATAAGCCCTTTAATATGGAGTGAATGAACAAGGAAATTGTAAACCTTTGTAAGAGATATGAGACAGTGAGATATTCAGGATTTGTTAGAGAAGCAAAAAAACTACCAGCCAGCATTTTCAGTTCACACAGTCAGTTACTATTCTTACAGACTCAAGACTACATTACCTTTCTATAACTTGAACCCATTGTTTCCCTCATCTCAGGGTTTACTGAATCAGTTTTCACTAAAACAGATTAGTTATTTTAGGCTCTGGACCCTGTGTTTGTAAGATAATGAGATCCTCTTAAGAAGTTTTGAGGGAAAGTTCATGCGGTTGACTAGGGACTTTTGCATGAAATCTTTGCAACATAGAAAAATGGAAGGACGTGAAATCAACTTTAGGTAATCCAAGCAATAAAACACAAGAACAAAACGAAAGCATCCGGCCGAAAAAATGCATCGTCAGGTGCTTTTGTGAAAATTGATAACCTTTGTGTGTCTTTTGAAGGAGACCTGAACTGCATTGCAGGCGCAACATCTCGAAATGGAGCGTTCATCTGGGACGTCCGGAAAGGAAAGATCATCACTCGCTTTAATGAGGTTACTTTCACTTTCAGTTCAGTTGAAAATTACTTACACAAAATCTGTGTATCACATATAAGTAGCATCAGTTCATCACGTGATTTAATTAGTAGGAATGTCAATGCAGTCTCTGCTTTTTCTTCTGGCTGAAAATTGTATAACAATTTAAAAGTGATACTTTGCTTTTATAAATGATTATTCTCTTTGCCAAACACCGCGAAAAATCATATTCAAAATCATGGCTGGTGATTTGTGTCACCATTAATGATCTCTCTGTCTTCTTCCAGCATGGTAAGAATGGTATATTCTGTATATCATGGAGCCATAAGGATTCTAAGAGGATTGCTACTTGTAGTGGAGATGGATTCTGGTCAGTCCTCGTTTCCCCGATACCTCTATTCTGACAATACAAAATTACAATATTTGCCTTTTGTGAAAGTCTTAAATGTTTTGCCCTTTTTTACAGTATCATCCGGACCATTGACGGTAAAATCCTCCATAAGTACAAACATCCTGCTGCTGTGTTTGGTTGTGATTGGAGCCAGAACAACAAGTAGGATATTAATCTACCATCGTTCTCATTGGGGTCGTGAATATGAACTGGAGAGTCAGATACTTATTTCACTTTTTTGAACAGTTAAAATTAAACTGGGTGCGAGAAACAAACCTCTTGTCAACATAATTACATGATACTGCTAAATAAATGGTAAATGGACTGTACTTGTATTGCGCTTTTCTAGTCTTCTGACCACTCAAAGCGCTTTAACAGTACATGACATCATTCACCCATTCACACACTGATGACAGGAGAACCATACACAGTGACACCTGCTCATCAGTAACTAACATTCACACACTGTAGTCGCAGCTACAGGAGCAATGTTGGGTTAAGTGTCTTGCCCAAGGACACATCGACATGCGGGTTAGCCGAGCCTGGGCTCGAACCAACAACCCTCTGATTGGAGGACGACCATGCTACCCACTCACCCACAGTCACCCAAAAACATCCATCCAACCGCTTATCCGGGGTCGGGTCTCGGGGACAACAGCTCCAGCAGGGGACCCCAAACTTCCCTTTCCCGGGCCACGTCTACCTGTCATGTGGATTGAGGTGCTGGACCCAAGAGCAGAACACGGGAGAAAAATCTTCGGCTGCTTTTAGAATAACTTATTTCCCCGTTAAGATGGTTCAGCTACTGTAGAGAAATGGGCACCGTATCTCGCTCTTTAATCTCATTAAGTGCTCGGCAAGAACAACAGATTTGTTTCTCCGACGCGCCCTGAAACAAGCTCCAAATCTCACGCGCTTGAGCGCGGAAAATGCGGTATATTTACTTTAATACTAGAGAGTAGAGAGGGCGCCCCATTTGTTGAACAACGACAGGCGGACAAGAGCAGCCGTATTGTTTTATTAACTTTGCATAAGTTCCAGGTATGTGCAGGTATGCGATCTGAGTGGAAGGCTGGACAATATAAAACCTGGAGCTTGATTAGTGAAACTCCTTCCAGCTTTGCCAGTCAATTGGTGGGAGGGGCACCGCCCCAGACCACAACACTACCAGCTCTGACAGGGGGATCCCAAGGCGTTCCCAGACCAGTGTAGAGTGTAAACGGTGACTGAACCAATACTTTTAAAAAGAAAAAGCACAAAACAATGATTGAAACAAAAAAGAAAGTTGTTTTTGTTAATGCCAAGGCATTTTTTCTTGTTCTATTTGAACAATATATTAACTGTTTAAACAATACTATAATTATAAATAAATAAAAACACACTAAACTATGGCTTTAAACTTTTTGACTTGAACAATATATTGTTTACAGTATACTTACTGTTTCCCCTCTGTAAGAGCTTGAAGTATATCTATTAGTTCATTGGAATTTGGGGAATATTAATCATCTAGTTTTAAATGTATGCTCATTGTGGAGGAACTAAAGATATGTAACATATATTGAAAAGCATTTATGTCGGCTTGACGCTCTTTCTTTGTCTTGATTTATTGACATCATGATTGCAGCAGGTGCAACACAGAAGAGCTGCATGAGGCACGAGAGCATATTGTTTATTTACCGTGTTATAGAATTTATTATTTCTATTTTTAGTTAATGCTTTGCTGGGTAAAATAAAGACGAAAAGATCCAAACGATCTGCCGTCATTCGCGTAAATTGAGTCACGTGTTGGCAGGTAAATGCGGCTTAATGGCAACTAACACCGAAGAAACAAGCTACACCCCCAGTTTAATACTTCGGTGGGGAGCTGTCCGACGGGAGGCGGGGTGGTCGTTGCGGACACACGCTCTGTGTCTGCTGGTCAGTGCGTGCTCTCCTGTGTACGCGCACGTTAGGGTTACTACCCGTCCCTTAAAATACGGAATTGTTCCGTATTTGAGAATAAAATAGCGCGTCCCGTTTGGAATCAATACGGGATGGGGTTTGTCCCGTATTTGAGTTGTCTTCAATTCTCTTGGCGGAGTGTCGATTTGAAAGAATGGCGGAGGCAGCTCCAGATACCCCCCCCACGTCCAGCTCAATCGGATGCAAAAGTACCGACTAGAGAAATCACCGGGGGATCGCACAGTCAGATCTTTACTGTCATCACGTGTCCTACGTGATGACAGTAAAGATCTGAGTTTTCGTCAACGGCACATATTCAGTACTAATCTCAATAGGTTCATTTGCATACCCTCATTGATGATTTTGTAGAGAATGGGGATGAGCACCTGTGTGCAAAATTTCAAGTCAATCGGTCATCGGGGGCAAAAAGTAAGGTAAAGGGCAGTGCCAAATTTCTGGAAGAGCCCTTTATTTATGCCAACTTTGCGTGAGTTTTTTAAATATGAAAAAGGCCTCAAAAGTGTGATTTAAGTGAATAATAATCTTTTGGAAAATAATGACATTTGGTCCCTCTTTTTCTCTTTTAGAGATATGATAGCAACGGGCTGTGAGGATAAAAATGTTCGTGTGTACTACTTGGCCACCAGCTCCGATCAGCCTCTAAAGGTTTTCACTGGGCACTTAGCGAAAGTATTCCATGTCCGCTGGTCTCCACTTAGAGAAGGAATACTCTGCTCTGGATCAGATGATGGGTGAGTGCAGACAAAGATCGCTATTGCCAATAAACACTATTCATCAGACTTATTCTTGGATGAGGTGAACATTTCATCGGGAATCTGTTTCACTGCAAATTACATGGTACAAAGACAAGAACTATGGGGTCAGATCAGTCTCAATAATTGCAAATGCACACAGAAGGACAAATGCAAAAAGAACATTCACAAATACGCACAGAGCAATTCACAAATGCGCTGTGCTCATGTGAATGAGGGTGACATCTGATACTACAGATAGGTCCATATTGAAAAAAATGCATTTGTGCATCTACTCAGGTCAGACGAGTCTCATAGAACCCACACACATAAGCGAAATATAAAGGTATTTTTGAATCCTTCTGTGTGCCTTTCTAAATCAAATACATTTGTGAATTGTTCCGTGCGCATATGTGATTCGTGATCATCCGGTTTGCATTTATGAGTTGTTCTGTGTGCATTTGCAATTGTTGAGACTGATCTGACCCCATAAAGAACAAGGACTCAAATGTGAAAATAATAATGCATGCATAACACACATGGACTACAAAATGAAGACATGTAACAACTTCTATTTATTGTTAGGAAAATATGAAATGTGTCATTTCTTTCTATTTTTCCATTTGAAATGAATGAAAAAAGAAATCTCTGTCTGTGTGTTTGTCTGCACAGCACTGTTCGTATATGGGACTATACACAGGATGCGTGTATCAATGTGTTGAGTGGTCATGCAGCTCCTGTCAGAGGCTTGATGTGGAACACAGAGGTTCCTTACCTCCTCATTTCAGGTAAAATACTATTTTTGATTATCCAGTTGCTGTCACGTTGTGGGTTTGTTTCCTGTTTTATTTTGTAGTTTGCTGCCCCTTGTGTCCCTGGGTTAACTTCACTTCCTGCCTTGCCCTGTGATTGTCTGATTGTTTCCACCTGTCCAATCATCTGCACCTCCCAGTGTATTTAAGCCATGTGTGTCTCTTGTCCCTGGTCGTGTCATTGGTTGTTCAATACTGGATGGTGATTGTTCAACCCTGGATATGATTCCCTGGCTCTCTTGGCTGTTCCTGGTTCCTGTCTGCGTTTTCCCTTTTTTGAAGTTTGACTGTTAAAGTCCCTTTTTGTTTCCAAGTCTGCGTTTGAGTCCTGCCTCCACCTACCCGTTCCTGACAGTTAATATCTAACACTACATTTCACGAGATCACATCTGAACACATCATGATAACGTTATCGTTTATCTTCACCATACAGTTTTTTACTAAACAAATTCTGAATGCATCATGATGTAACGGAACGGAACCTTTGTTTGATGTCTGTTAGCAATGCTACAATTGTTACTAGTTCTCCAGTTAATTTTGATCATGACTGCTTGTTTACGATGAAGCATGATCAGAGATTAGCAAATAGAAAGCATTGGTGTCCTTCAGACTGGGAAGGTTAACGTAAACTGCAATCAATCTGCGGACAATAATGGGTGATCCGTATGGATCACAGATCTACAAGTACACAAACACTGGGTAAGAAATTAATCAACTGACGTACTCAAAACATTGTCTTTCATTCTTAAACTGACAAATAGATCACATGACAGGGCACAATGAGAGATGTTTTGATGTTTGCGTGATGACTAAATGTCCTCTGTTGCATTAACACTAACAGCTGATATGGTTAAAATTACCTACAGCAAAGGTAATTTACCATTTCAGCCATTAATATATCTGGATTAAGTCCCTCCATCTACTGTATAGAACCAGTAAGACATTACTGGTTCCATTTTTAAGATTTTATAAAAATGTTCCTATTCTTGATGCACGGCAGAGTTGTATTAAAATAACTGGACACAGCTATAATGTACAACAATTGTAATCATAGCGATGGGAGAGGTTGTCGAATTCAAATTGTAAATAATTTTTTAGGTTCTTGGGATTATACAATCAGAGTGTGGGACACAAGAGATGGCACATGTCTGGACACGGTCTGTGACCACGGAGCTGATGTCTATGGTAAGACAGAACAACATCTAGATTTTTATTAAGCCAAATACATGATGGGAGTCACTTCAAAGGGACTTAAACCTGTCAATTACATATGAAATGCTGTAGAGTCAATCTGCATGTAGCACATTGGTTTTAGAAAGGCATGTTATATTGTGAACACACAGATTATAATCCTGCATGCTTATTATATTTAGCAAAAAACATAGCACAATTTCCACATTTAAATGAATTGGGTCTTGTCTGTGACCCGTCATTCTTTACCGTAGAAAAAGAAGGTTGGGTCTTTATTGACCCAAATGATACATTTTCCTACTTCCAATGGTTTTCCTTTAATCACTGTTCAAGTTATAGAAAAAATGGGGCAGTTTCACACTTTATAATGGGTGTCCATTGCACAACTTAGAGTGACTGATGTAATCACACAGTGGGGAGGAGCTTCAGAATTTTGTCTTTCCACAATTTTCCCTTTTCATGCATCATTTTTTGATACAAAGTTAGGCCTTTTTGTGGTGGTCATAGACATGTGACTATAGAATCCATCATATTTTGCGACAATACCCCGAGAGAGAGACCCAACTAACCGCGGACTCAAAAAAGCAGACAGTACAAGATTTTGAACCTTCCCTTCTCTGCTGAATTTTAGTGTGACATGATTGTTAATATAGAGTTTGGAACTATAATTCTATACCACTGTAATACTACGCCCCTTTTTCTGTTATAACATGCGTTTGCCAAACTGTGCGTGTGTTTGTAGGTTTAACATGTCATCAGAGTCGTCCATTCACTATGGCCAGCTGTAGCAGAGACAGTACAGTAAGACTTTGGTCTCTCACACCCCTCATCTCTCCACTGCTGCTGAACATCCTCACAAACCAGCCTTGGGAAAAGATAATAGGAAACACAGGTGAGAACAGTCTGCCGCTCCCTTCATTTTAATTGTGTTCTCTTTTTATACTTGATATAACCATGTTGGTTGTGTGTGTCGGCAGACACGGCTATGGTTGCCGGCTCTCCTCCGCTGCTCTGTGGTAAAGTGTCTCGTGACATCAAGCAGGAGCTGGATAAATGTAGCTCTGACATCATGGCCAAGAAGCTCCGCTGGTTCTCTGAATGTTTTTCGGTACTTATATTCTGAATGTTTAGTTACTGTTGGGGATTATATCAGTGTGATACCTTCAGACCGTTATTCACAGTTGTCTCCGTGCTCTGATGCAATCTGTGTGTATTTTCAGCAGTTAATGTAACAGCGGGCATCCCACAGCTAGACATTTTGCCTCAAATTTCTGCTGCTAAAAATGAATTCAGTTTTTTGTGAAAAATGTACAGTTGTTATTGCATTTTTTACATTAGCTTCAACTCGAAAGATAGAAATCTGTTTGTTACATTACGGTACAATTAAAATACATATGAACATCCAAATTCTAAATCTGATTTATTACGGTTCTCACCATTGCTGGGTTACTATATCTTTCCCTATATAGTGGATTAATGGACTGAAGGCTGCATGATGGCAGGAGATGAGGGAGCATATTTGGCACCCAAAGTTGAGTCCCTCCAACTTCCGGAGCTTTTGCCTTGATTTGTGTCTTCTTTTGGCCTCAACATGCAATTTCAGGACCTTTTTCACAAGATCACAAAGATGTAATCTCAAAGAGATAGACGATTAGTTATATTAACAAAAGCTTGTAAAAGGTCATATTTATTTTGTGTAATAGTGATGAGCAGCTATTAACGTGTAAGGACCATCAAAAGTTAATTACAGACTGTCTTTATTTATCATCAGGAGGTGACTGACATTATAACCTACATTAGTCAACACATTGCCCACAGTCAGGTTTTATCTATTTGGACGGAGAGTCAGCAATGCGAGACACCATTCTCCTTTATTTAAGTAATCACTCTGAATTGCTGAAAAACATGCATGAAAACACATCTCTTTACTAAAAGAACATAGAAGAAGTTGACATTTCATTTATATTGTGTTTTAAAGTGATTTGAAATGTGCAGATTTTGGTTATTTTCGGTTAGAATTTTAACTGTGATAAAGATGTAGACACATTCTTTTGTACTTTTATACGGCTACATGCATTACAATGCAGTAAATATTACTAGACAAAATATCAACATGTAAACAAGTGCACATTAGTCTTAAACACATTACTTGTTTTCTTTGTATGAGTTTGCGTGTGCATCTGTGTCCGTGTGTGCTTCTCAACATATTTGTGTATGCTCTTGTGCCAGACTCCTGGAGGCAGCAGCAATCTGTGGGATTTGGTGTCAGTGATTAATGGCCAGGACGACTCATTGCTACCACCCAGCTACAGTAAAGGAGTGATGCACATGAAACATCTGCTCAAGTTCAAAACGGTGAGCAGCTCTGTTTCCCTAAGTCAATGTCAAGGGTAACAAGGTTTGTTTCTTCTACACCGAAATGTCACACCTTAAAGAGGGAGATCTGCGATGACCATGTCAGGTTCTCTGTGAAACTAAGCACTACTCTGCAACATTGCTGACTTCCTCTCTGGATGAAGTGTCATCGTTGTTTAAAATCGAGCAGATGACAGTAAAGTGCAAACTTCAGAAAACAACTGCACAAATGCCGTCCTCTGTCCCGGGACCCTAACATCATGAGGGACATCAGGAGTCCACCCCAAAAAAACTTTAACAGGGGAAAAAAAGGAAGAGCAACATAAGTAGGATCCTCCACCCAGGATGGAGAGGAGTACAATAGAGGTAATGTGCACAGAATGAACAACATGATTGAGTTATACTTTATTGAATGCATATTGCACTCAATGTTCTCACTCATGCTGCTTCAAGTACTACTGTTGCTGGTAATATAATATATAACTGTTTTCACAACTTGCCTTGCCCTTGTGTTTGTCTGTGGACAGATTACTGGTATCACAATAGCATTACAACTGTGCAAGATGCATTCATGCAATTTCCCAGGGGTGTAGTTGAGATTTAAATGAAGACCAGCCCTGAAGATGGATGTGTGTGCCAGAAGCTGGTGTAATCATCATGTAATCCCATGAAAAAAGGGTTTCTAGTTTTAATTTTATTCTGTTCTAGTCATCAACATTCTATTTAAGATGTGTTAAAAAAAGTATTTTTTATCTTAATAGTGTATTTTATCTAAGTTTATCTTCCATTTTTTCTATTTTCTCTCAGTCTGAAGCCCAGGAGCTCACTATAGTCAAGATGTCTAAATTTGGAGGAGGTATCGGAGCTCCAAGTAAAGAGGAGAGGCTGATAGAAGCAGCTAACATCCATCTGAGACTTGGTCAGATTCAACGATACTGTGAATTAATGGTGGAGCTGGGACAGGTATGGAGTGAGTGCGGGTATGCATGCCGGTGTTTTAGTAGTATTTGTGCAATAACCTCAGATCCAAGCAAGCCAGACACTGGTGACACTCAGCTATTTCTATATTTTATATTTAACAGGATGCTCTTTAATTCCTGTCTAGCTCCACATTTGTCTTTATGTTTTTTCTTTTGTCAATGGAAATTCAAGTTTGTTGGTCTAAAAGCAAACCCAAGCAAAGTTTTACAGCTATTGTTAATGATATCTGTACTTTCATTTAATCTCTCCCATCACCAAATACTTTTGAAGAACCTGCAAGTAAAAACTGTAGGTAAAAGAAGTTCAAAAGAAATGGCATGTAGGCATAAGCACTCAGGAAGTCCGAACGAGGGAAAAGTCAAAGCAGGCGGACAGCTGCAGGCAGCAGCTGCAGAGATAGACAGGGATAGAGGAGTGACATTTTGGCATCATCAAGATATTCTGATAAACCAGTCGATTCTCATATTTCAGTTGTTATATTTGGTCACAAATCCAGGGATGCCTCTACATCTATTGTGAGAAAAAGAGCAAAATAAAAAGAATAGAAATATAAATGAATTATCTTGCCAATGTGAGCTAATAGAGGGTGATTTATCTTGCAGTGGGAGAAAGCATTATCTGTGGCACCAGGAGTCTCCATGAAGTATTGGAAGAAACTCATGCAGAGGTAATTCAATTCATGTTGAAGTCCATTGTTTCAGCTTTTCCTCAAAACAACAATAAAAAAGAAAGACAGCATTGTCCCAGTGCAAGTGTTTTCAGTTTGAGCAGCATGATGATTGTTAAAAATATGATAAGCAAAGGCAGAAAACCAGCAGGCACAATAGTTGGACCTTAAACGTGTCACACCTAGAATGCAGCTATAATTAATGCTGTTATTTACTCCTGTATTTTACCGCTTTAAATTGTCAAAATAGCTGCTGTGATGAAGGTCTACTGTTTCCAGTCCCCAGCATTATTCATGTAAACTTCAGTAGATCATGGCTTATAGGGCTGTTAATTCTGTAATGTTTGTGGTTTTAGGTTTTTACTAGATTTTTCAATTGTGTTAGAACCAAATCTAAATCTGTTGTTCATGTTTATTAAGATAATTTATAGTTTTTACTTGTGTGGCAATTCAAAATATGCTTTTTTCTTGCTGCATTTGGAAAGAGAGAATAAAGCATATCAGAAGGATGCACTTAAAACAATTTAGATAATGCATGAGAATACATGAAACAATATCAATTATTGTAAAAGTAAAGACAACACCGGATTTGTTAATAGGAAAAGGCGTACAACAATTTCTGAGACTGATGCGGACCCATCCGCAGTCCACATGAACTGAGACATTATTTTCTTATCAGGAGTGTTTGTTAAAGGGATCGTTTGGTTGTTTGAAATGGGCTTGTTTGAGCTACTTATAGTCAGTGTATCACATACACTAGATTTGCCCCTCAGATTAGATGAACAGACTGTACTACTAAGCAAAGCAAAGTATATAGGGCGGATGGAGAATATAACTAAAAACGGCACCTGCGTAAACTTTGGAAATAGCATTGATAAGATTCACTGTCAGCTAGGTTCTGCATCAGAAATAGCTATATGACAACAAGATAAAGGGTTGAAAATATTTCAAACATAACATACGTGAATATAGATATCTGCCTTTCTGTAGGCTAACATACCTTCTGCTGCTGACCCCTTCCACAACAGTGTAGTCCTTTCTACTAATCCATGGGGTATGCTGACCCTAGTCTACTGTAGGTAATACAGTGAACAAGTATCTCATACAACCCCACTAAAACTCTTCCTTTCAGCAATCAAGTTGACATTATTTTGTCACATATTATGAAATTCTTACACCTTGCTTTAAACCAGGATTATTCTTTTTGTCATCTTCATTTTTACCAATTGTAACGTAAATGCAAAGAAAATAGTAAACTGTGTAATGTGTTACTTATCCATGTAATTGCAATATCCTAATGTCACAGGAGAGCTGACCAGCTGATGGGTGAGGATAATGATGATGCTATCCCATACTGCATCGCTACAGGAGACATTAAAAACCTTATAAGTTTCTTCACTGGTCGTGGACAACTGCTCGAAGCATTAATAATAGCACAGGTACACGGAAGGAGGGGATGAAAGGGAGCAGTAGTTTTCTTTCGGGCTGGATGATGAGAAGTGGATCTTAAGTTTATTATTGGGGTGGATAAATAAGTAAACACAGAGAGCTGAGAAAATACTTCAACTGTTATTTTGATGCTTCTGAAAATATTTACAAGATTTGATACACAATAATAACGTTTAATTAATAATCTATATTTTTAGGGAGCATGTGAAGGAAACATTCGTGCACCTCAAAGCTCCCAAGCTAACCCCACGACCAATGACATGGATAACAGACTGCAATACCAGAGGTAAAGCAAACACACACATGTGTAACTTTAAATTAACATCTAACCTGATGGTGTTTGTTTTAGGTGAGATTTTAGCTTAGTTGTGTTGCCTGTTTCCATTGCCACTGTTTTATAAACAAAGTTAACGCACCGGCTCGTTCACATTGATTGGCTCTCCTCTCTCATTCGGCTTAAAGCCAAAATGTTTCCCAATCGAAGCCGAACATTGTACCTTCAAAATCAAGTCAATTGGGACTTATTTGTCTTACCGGGTTCGGCTGTAAATGTTACAAAAAAGAACCTTTTATAACATGGTGGGTTCACTGCTTCTCTTCACCTGTCGGTTAGTGATGTGTCGTTCGTGAACGATTCGTTCAACGAATCCATAGAAGGGCTCGGGAGTAAGTCGTGATTCGTTCATTTTGTCGTGGCCGTGCATCGGGACTGTGCATTGCATAGGCTCAGTCAAGGAAACAGGAATGATTCGTTCATTGATTCGTTCATTTTCCGACTCGGTACTACTGAGCCTATGCAGGTCACGTGAAAAAGGATCAAAAGACTTATGAACGAATCATTGATCCGATGACAAGGTTGGCAGAAGAGCGAAGCATTGATCTGAAAACACGGTCGGGAGGTGATTTAATCTGCCGGGTACGATTCTTTGGATAATTTTTCACGTGATCTGCATAGGCTCAGAAGAGGAAACAGAAAGGATTTGTTTACTTCGTTCACTCTCGTGTGACTACAGGGGTGCAAACTCATCAACTTTCGGCAAAATTAGCAGTTTTTGATCCAAAATAGTTTAATTTGTGTGATTCATGTAGATCTGCAATAATCTGTGGGGTGGGGTGGGGTGGGCGCCGTGGCGCGCGGGGGGGTTTGTATCCTTGTCACCTTTTTCATCCCTGATGAGTTCGCTCCCCTGTGACTAGGTTTAGTAGACGAAAATGATATTTGTTCACAAGAAACAGGTTTCGTTATTTTAACTTTTTTGTACTTTACTTTGTGTGCCGTGATAATTAAATGCTTGTGTGATAATAAATAACCATTTCAAATCATCCAAACTGTCATGACACATGGTTTTTGTTCATGATTTGTTCATTTTACTGAACGAGATTCAAAGAACCGAGTCTGAAAAGCTTCTGCATTACTACTGTCGGTGTCCGTTCTGTAGCTTTGTGCTCGCTACCTAAGCCCCACCCCCATTTTCCACAAGGAAAAGGGACAGAGGCAGCGCGATCAACTTAAATGTTGGTGACGTTCATTTATATGTAAAATGAATAGCGCAGCGGCAAATATTATTTCACTCGATTTCAGATGGTGTGCGATAAGTCAATTTATCGCATATAGCAACGGGCCTAATGATCTCCAACTTTGATGGCAAGATATAAGGGGCAAATTTTCCCTTCAAGAAGTTGAAATGTTCTGTTGAGCAGTTCTAACAATTCAATATTATCCAACTGCTTGGATTTATTTTCTGATGTATCCCAATACGATCAAGGATAATCAGGATTAACTATCTGCCTCATTGAAAACCTTGTTACTATCCAGGCGCTTTCCACCAGATAACTGCACGTAAATGGAATTAATACAAAGGCCAAATGTCATATATGTAACTGTTTGTGGTTAGTGAATGTTTTGTTTAAAAGAATGACCATGGAAAGCTCTTTAAATACTCATAACTCTTTATATTTAGTCCATCCATAAACTTTGAACTTTTCCTGTCCAGTCTCCTCCAAACGGTATGTAAGGAACTAGCTGAGTGGTACTTTCAGGATGGATGCTCTGTCCTGGCAGCATGCTGCTACCTTGCTGTGGACAACATTAAGGTACATACTTCTGTATATCAATTGCATAAGTATATTGTGAAGTTGTCATACATCTTACCTTTATAATAACTAATCATTAATGTGGATGTACCGTATGTGTTATGCTTTTAGTTAGCCATGTCAAGTCTTATCCGAGGTAATGAGCTGGAGTTGGCGGCATGTGTGGGTATTGGCCTAGGAGAGGCAGCTAAACAGAGCACTTCATACTGTCTTGAACTCTTGGCGAGGAAATACATGACAACAACAACATGGTACGTCTCAATCAATGCTTATTCGGTTAGTGTAAGCTACATTTTTGTGTATTAAAACTGGTTCCTTTGAGCATAGGTGGAGTCACGGCAAACCTATTTTCAGTTCGAAATTCATTAATTTTTTAATGTGGAATGTATGACAGTATCAGGGATCTAGATTTAGAGGGCTCCACCTGTACTGATAGTACTTGGGCTGTAGAGCACTATCACACAACACACTGGATGCTTCTAGGGTGTGGTCAATACATAGCAAAACCTTATCTCTACTGTTTCTACATTTAGGGCGCTTGCAGTTGACCTACTGAAAATGATTCCTGACAACCACATTCTGTTGGCTAAGCTGTGTGCTTTTTACCCAGGAAGTGTTGCTGAAATCAACCAATTTCATGAAAGTGTGAGTAGACAATCAATATGTAAAATCTAAAACACGTTGTGAATGAAATGGAGTGGATCTGTGATGTTAATGATAATAACATCCTGATGATTATAGTGACTATGATTATCTGTTGCTTGTCATTCAAGTGCGGTCTCCCTTCCATAGAGGAATGTAAGGCCCTAGCGGAAACAGCCATGTGTGAAGGAGATTTGTTTTCTGCAGTAAAATTCCACCTGCTGAGCTCAGAACCTGACATCGCCCTTAGGATAGGGCTAGATCATGTTAAAGGTAATGGCTACAGAGTTTCGGTGTGTATTTGTTTGTGATTACCTATCTATCATCATCTATAACAACCTACCCACCTATGATTTACACATTTTACATATGATCGCACAATTACCTTGAACATGAAACAGTTGGCAATATTTACTTATGTCAAATGTTGTAAAAGTTCCGACATATCCATTGGTATGATTGACATTTTTCTGCCAATATTTTAGGAATTATACTGAACACAAATAAAAAATTAAAAAACGCCATTGCATAGTTGTACCACTAGCAGGAACAAGTGTAATCTATGAATGACCGGTTTCCATACCAATCCCAATGAAGACCCTACAAATCTGCACTTTCTAATGTATTTGGTATAAAATACAGTGAATTACAATAATAAATCATATCTTCAACAGAAATCCTAACAATAACGTATTAATATTGAATTGGGCATTGGAGACAGTGTCTTACTGAAGAAATGTATTAAATGGGTACTTTTATAAAGTACAGCTCAATCAGGAACTGTATTTGAATTTCCTCCTCACCAGAACAGCTGACTCGACCTGATTGGACAGTGGATATTGTTCAGCCAATCCTGGACCTGATGAGTTACATCAGAACTGACTGCCTCATCATGGCTAAGTTGACTGGGTGAGATGATCTATTATTAGAGATGATAATTATTAATAGTATTATAATTATTTAAATTTCTCCACTGCTCACCAATGCTGTTGCTTCTTATAGATTGTCTGACTTGATCATCCAGGCCTTTGTGTGTGTGTGTGTGTGTGTGTGTGTGTTCTTGTATGCACACGTGTGCTTGTGCGCAGAGCCCGCAGTGAGCTGTTGATCTTGTGTGGTTACATTGGAGGTCTGCTGGCCATCAGAAGACAGTACTCTAGCATCGTGCCTGCCCTCTATGAATACACCAGGTAGACACAACCCCATGTATGTCCATAGTCAGGTTTAAATTGGATGAACGATTTGGAAGTCATTCCAACCCTATTTTTTTCTGTTTCTCAGTCAGCTGATGAAGCGGAGGGAAGTGTGTGTTCCTCTGAATATTGAGCAGCTGTCTGTGGAGCTGGATGTCTGGAGGGCCTGCACACAAAGTAACAGAAAGTAGGTTACAGAGACAAACATAAAGACAAAGAAAACATCTAGAGATGGAAATGTTTGCCCATTCATTTTGGCCATTCCAAGTCAGATTGGATGGAGACAGTGTGAACGGAAATTTTCAAATCTTGCCCTTGATTCTCACTGTATTGACGTATTTTGTATAGCCCAAAATTGCAAATTAAAAATTTGCCTCAGAGGGCTTTACAGTCTGTACAAATGTGATATCCGCTGTCCCGAAACCCCGCACAGAAAAAAAAAATCCTTTGATGGGGAAAAAAGGAAAAAAAAGAAACCTTGGAGAGAACGGCCGAGGAGGGATCCCTCTCCCACGATGAACAGAATGCAATGGATGTCAAGTGTACAAAATGAACAGCGTAAAAAATGTAATAGTAATGTGACTAATATTTATAATAATAATGATAGCAACAGCTGTTGTCAGCATGGCCATGGCAGGAAGCAGGAATAGGGTCCAAATAGAACCAGGATCTATGGAAACCCGGGAGGTGAGAAACAGTGTTGGGCAAGTTACTGAAAATGAGTATTTAGTTACAGTTACTAGTTACTTCTTTTAAATATAATTGAATTACTTACCAGTTACTGTGTATCAAAAGTAATTAGTTACTCTGGAAAGTAACTTTTAAGTTACTTTTATGTCTGCTTTTTAAATGTAATGAATATAAATAGTACTGAACAGTCAAACACAATAAACATATTTTTTAGACCTATTTATTGTAATCAACAGGGCAACAGGCCTTCAAATCAAGCAATAGTACAAAGGTCCTTTTTAATACCTAACTTAATACAAAATAACTGTTTCAGGCATTTGCCTGAAGGCAACTGACTCGACAGTTGACAGGATGCATCTCATCTTCAACATACCGAGCAATCAATCTATTCAGCTCTGCCCGGTTTATCGGCTGCACTGCAGTCCGTGTAAAGTGGAGCCTTGGTTGTTTGCGTGGAGCGGCGCCTGCAGCATCCGCGGGCTTGCGGTTTTTCGTCATGAGTGACGCAATGCTGTTTACATGCACGTACGGCGACTATTCTGTGACACACAACGTTTGGTGGCCACAACTATTTTGTGCTGACAGGCAGCTATTTACTTACTATTTGCCGGCCCTCCGCTTTGCGTCACAAAAGAGAGTAACGCGAGTAACGAACTCATTTCAATTTCAGTAATTGTAACTGCGTTAATTTATTTAAAAAAATACTTCGTTACATGCTCGTTACCCCTAAAAGTAGTGGAATTACAGTAACGCCTTACTCCCAACACTGGTGAGAAAGCACAAATACTCCGTGGAAGAAACAAAGTAATAGTATTGGCACTAATAATAGTGTTAGAAGCAGTAGGTGTCAGTAGGGTCATGGCAGGAGGCAGCAGCAGGGTCCAAATATAACCATGATCCATGGAAACCTGCCAGGCTACTAATAATGTGACTTGCAAATGTGACTTGTAAAGGCATTTGGTCACACCAGATATCTGTTAGGGGTTTTACAGTAATGTGGTTGAATACATATGCACTCACCACTTTTCAGATTTTTATTTGTAAACAAGTTTGAATTCCAATCCAATGTAAATTTCCCCCCACAGCTAGATATACAGTATCTATATTTGTACTACCATATGTTTAAACTCCCCTGCTTATGTCTGGTATATAGCTTCACAATTGTATCTCGTCTGTCTATTTTCAACAGTCCTGCATCAGATTGTCAAAGAGAGTTGTTCAGCCACCTCGAGAGGAGAATCCAGCCAACACAACCTGGTATACATAACAATTCTAAACATAGGTTTATCAAATGAGTATGTCAGCCTTGAATTCCATCTTTTGGTCTTTGAGATTTGCTTTTATTTGACAAAGAAGTATTGTGATGTGCTATGTAGCTTTGTATTGTGTCTTTGTCACGTTCGGTCACGGTAACGGGCGGCAAAGATCCACGCGCAGAGGGAGGTCACAAAATAAGGGTTTTAATGTTAAACAGAAACAGCGAGCCGAGCTCGATGGCAAAACATAGAACAAAAATGTATTCTCTAGGAGACCAGCTAGGCAAAAGGAAAAACGAAAGGTAATCCTCGGGACAGGGGAATCTCCTCCTTGGAGAACGAAGCTCGACAGGAGCCTGCAGGATGCAGCCCCTGAGGCACGACGCTGGAGGCCGGACGAGCAAGACTTGGCTGTGCGCAAAGAGAGAAGGTCTTGAGGCTGCTGGACAGGGGAAGGGTTGACTCACAAGAATAATCCGACAAGACACAAAGGGAACACATGCAAGATATAGACAGGGTGATTAGACATGACGAGAAACAGGTGTAACAGCAAACGGCGCGGCCACTGATTGAAATGAGCGGCAGGTGGATGGGAAGGCTATGTGAGAAGTGGGTGTGTGTGCAGAGGTGAGACTAATGGGCAAATGAGTGTGTCAGTGAATGTATATGGCAGAGGGGAAGAGAGAGAGAGAGACCCGGATCCTGACAGTCTTATGTATTCTTCATTTTATTACTTCGTTTGATGTATTTACACTGTACTGTTTGTTATTTTGTTCTTTCTTTTGAACTGAAAGAGATGCATATGCACTTTAGCTTAAAGCTACATGTATGTTTTAAACTGTAAATATTGTTATAACTAATTCAATTTAATGAAGTTAGATAAAATAAAACACTGCCATTAAAAGGTACATTTGCGAAAATAAGCGTTTGACGTAGGTAGGGTGCCAATGCCGGTGGGTGGCAACGGGAGCTGGAGGCACTTTGCCAGTTGAATGATAACGATTGGGCCGGTAAGTAATTGGCCACTGTGCGTAAAGGCTCTTTCATTCGATGAAGTCTGGCCTGGAGGAAGGATTTTAAAAAGCCACAGAGGCAGAAGAAAGTATTGTCTTCCTGAACTCCCTAATGATTAGGGACTTTCTAATCTGTCAGACTTGATGGCCATCAAAACATATTATAGGCCTACTGTATGTAATGGTTAACCAGCAAAACAAGTTATTTTCTTTTTTAGATGGTTTAGTTCTGTGTGGTGCTGATTATGTGACAGGCTCCAATCTGCCAAGCCACTCAGATGTTCAACTGTCGTGTTTCACTGGACACAGAATAAAGGTGCGTGCTTCTTTATTTATTTGTTTGTTTGTATCTCCACAAACATGTCTTGTAAAATTGTGATTGTTCTCATCATTCTTTTTTTTTTTTTTTTACTAGGGTCCAGTTTTTTTGCTGGAGGATGATAAATCAGCAATCTCTCTTAATGATGCCTTAATGTGGGCAGAAGTCAATCCTTTCTCTCCCCTGGGAACAGGAGTTCGCATCAACCCCTTCTAACACACACACACACACACACACACACACACACACACACACACACACACACACACACACACACGGACAGAAACATTTAAAGTAGGGTTGTCAATAGATTTAAAAAATGAACAAATTAATTGCACATTTTGAAATTCAAAATGTGAATGTTGTAATGGTACAATCTTGTTGTTAATGAATGTTTGTTTTTCTTCTAAAGATTAAATCTTACAAGTAATGAGTCACTTTAGAAAGTGTGTATTTTAGACACTGTTGTTTAATTGTTAATGTTATTTTAAACACAAAACTACACATATTTGATCATCTTGGAGGCAGAATTCCACCGGGGTAAATATGTTGAACTAGCGACTTTTCCTTCTGTCCTCGTCCGGTCCGTTTGACACTCACCACACTTTTTTTTGACATGTGGCGGAATTCCTCTGCACAGTCCTCTGCTGTATGTAAAGCCCAAATAAGAACCTAAAAATGTGTGGAATTATTAAAGGTGCAACGTGTAAGAACTAGCCTGAAGAATATGAGGGGCCGTTTAGAACTACTGAGACACTCTTACACATATTTTCACATACATACATACCGTATTTTCCACACTGGATTATAAGGCGCACCTTCAATGAATTACCTATTTTAGAACATTTTTCATATATAGGGCGCACCGGATTATAAGGCGCATAAGATACTGCAGTCAGACGTTTGACGTCAGGGCGGGTGGATGGGGGGGGGCAGGTGGAGACAGTGCTTTTAGGGTCCGATCGATGCTGCGAGGTGCGTCCGCTCCCACCGCCCCACCCCGCCATCCTTAAATCTTCGGCTGCTCTCCAGCCACGCCGCCTGCCAAGGGCCCCTTTTAGAATAACTTATTTTCCCCGTTTAGATGGTTCAGCTACTGTAAAGAAAAGGGCACCGTCTATTGCTCTTTAATCTAATTAAGTGCTCGGCTAGAACGACAGCTTTGTTTCTCTGACGCGCCATGAAACAAGCTCCATATCTCACGCGCTTGAGCGCCCGCTCAGCATCTCGCCGTCGTAGACCGAGCTTTGGCATGTTTGGCAGAGCGCCTTGAGCGCCGTGTACAACCAGTATGGATCAACCGATTGTATATATGTATATGTGTGTGTTTCTCATACAGTATGTATGTGCGTTTCAGATGAGTATGTATAATGATTTATATACGCATGTGCATAGGTTTACAGAGTATGTATGTACGTATGTGTAAGTGTCTCAGGAGCAGTAGCGTGAGAGTATTTTAAAAGCGGATGTAACGAGTGTTTCATTAGTACGTGTAAGAGTGTCTTAGTAGTGTGCACGAGAGTGTGTAAATAGTAGTAGTCCTAAACCTCATACTATGGTGTTAATCACTTGTTTCAAGTCAGCATGATGTTTATTTTTAAAATCATGCTCCCATTTGGAGTAAAATTATAAAGCAGGGCATGCTTTATGTAAGTGTATATGACACAGAAGTATATATGTATGCGTGTGTGTGTGTTTCTCATATGTTTTGTGTAAGTATTTCAGATGAGTATGTACTGTATATTGTTTTATATATGCAACTGCATAGATTTAAAGTATTACATTTATGTATATATGTGAGAGCATTTCAATAGTGAACGTAAGAGTGTTTCATTAGTATGTGTGTCTCAGTAGTGAGTGCGAGTGTCTCAATAGTTAAGTCCTAAACAGCCCCTCATAGCATAAAGTCATGTTTGCAATGTAAACTGAGGAAATACATTTTGGTCTTACTTTTGCAACCAGAGGCTGCTGCCAACCACCATGGCCCGGCTTGTTCTTTTTTGTTATACTTTTTTGTTTTCTTCTTCAGCAATGGTGAGTCACTACTGCCAGTCTATCCTCAGTTAAGATAAAATAATAAGTAAAACTGCTTCAAGGACGTGTCACACATCCATGGTCTGTATGCATTTTGATAGTTTGTTCGCTATAGCCGCAAGTAAAATCTAATTCCTTGTGACCTCTGCCATCAGTTTTTTGTATTGTTTGTATCAGCAACTGTAATGTCTGCAAAACATGGCTGGAGCCCTGGAACAACGGGCAGTCCGGGTAAACAGTGACTCTTTTTCTATATAGGCCTACTGATGGCAAGAGGAAAAGGCGTGTGCTTTGTGGTGAATAACGTTAATGCAGAGATTAAAGTTCATGGGAGTTGTAACTTTTCCTCGAACGATTTCATGCTCCAGTTTTGGTTTGTTATGTTTATTTTTTTTACCAGGATCAACCAGTAATCAAAATGCCACAAGACCCCATAAACTGGCAGACAACACAGAGTAGCAAATCTCCTAGCTTGTTAGCCTAAACTAGCTTGGTAGATTTTAGCTAGCGGGACGTGTTTCAGCAACCGCTTCATTCATCCTTATTGGCATACAGTAGCCTACATTGTTTGTATCATTGATTATGTTTTATGGCTGGAATGTAACACATTTTTTCAATATTCCCTTTTTTGCTAAAAAAGGGAATATTGGGAAATAGGACATTTTGGGTATGTATATTCCCAAGAATTTTTTTTCCTGGGATGAAACCGTAGCAGATGCTTGCTGAATTTGAGTTGCCAAGGCCCAGTTAAAGAGCTTAAATGATGCTCTCTATTTCTTTGGAGCTGGTGGCCATATTGCACTTTTTACCAATTAAAAGGAAGATGGTACCAATCAAAAATTGCTACAGGTGAAATCAGTCATTCAATTCCCTAAGCTTGTTGTTAAACCATTTTGAATAATACATAATTCCCCCAGACCGTTATTACAGTAGTTTAGTTTTAGTAGAGTCGGCACAGGACTGCTTTGCCTGACACATCCGTTCGACAAATTCAGCTGAAGTAGAAAAGGATTTTTAAATAAGACACTCATTCATAATAGGAAAAAGGGCATGCAATGTGGGTTAGGGATGAACGAACATTGCTAGATTGCACAGCAAAATAGCCACCCAATTCATCCAAGATATAATGTGGAAGTTATTGTAAAAACGGGAAAACAGAAAATAGTCCTCCTTCCTGGTGAATCAACCACAGTGAACGCACACACAGACTGACGAGGAAACTGTGATGTTGCTTTGCCCCGGCACAAAATCCAGTCCGCCAGAAGGGATACACATACAGGAAGTGTTATTCACCAAGAGAAAGGGGAAGTGTACCACTATTCCAGTCCCTATAGTCAACAGCACTAAACACAGTGTCGCATTGAGCGCACGCACAAAAGTAGGACACATTGAGATGGTGAAAGCCGTCTACCCAGCAGCAGTGCAGCCCACCAAGGAAAGACAGGCCGCACAGACGAGACGCAGGCCGCAAGAAAAACACCACCTGATAAGATTGGCGGAGTCTACACCGACATACAATCCAATCCAATCCAACACAGAGTGACAGTAATGCGTGGGACCCACCGATAGTATTAGATTAGTGAGCAGCAGGCTATCGCAAAACAAATGCTGAGAGAGGAGTGTAATGCCTTTTCAAAAGATGACATGGATGTCGGTTGTATTCTAACACTCAAAATGCATATCACCTTAAAGGATACGACTCCTGTCCAAAAGACGTATATCAGTGTGCCAAAGCCGGTCCACCAGGAAGTGAAGGAGTACCTGCAAGATCTCCTAAACAGGGGCTGGATCACGAAAGCAAGGTCGCCCTACTCCTCACCGATTGTCTGTGTCAGAAAAAAATATGGTAGCTTGAGGTTATGCTGTGATTACAGAGAACCAAATAGTAAGTCAGTGCCAGACAGACATACCCAGGATACAGGATATGCTAGATAGTCTCAGTGGAAGCTCCTTGTTTTCAGTGTTAGATCAGGGCAAGGCCTATCACCAAGGATTCCTGGATGAAGAGAGCCAGCCTCTTACCGCCTTTTTTACTCCATGGGGTACCAGTGGATACGAATGCCTTTCGGTTTGAGTTCAGCACCTGCTGAATTTCAAAGGAGTATGGAGGAGTGCCTATTGGGACTACGGGATGAGATCTGCCAGCCATATCTAGATGATAATCTAGTCCATAGCAAATCCTTTCAGGATCATGTCAGTCACATACAAATGGTTCTGAGGCGGTACCAACAACACAGCATCAAGTTCACAGCAAAAAAAAGTGAACTATTCGAAGACAGAGTACGATTTCTGGGGAAGATGGTGTCCAAGGAGGGATACACAATGGATCCTGCTGAACTAGCTCCGGTACAGGCCTTAAAAGGGAAATGTCCTTCCACAGTTGGAGAAGTAAGGCAGTTGCTAGGGTTCCTCTCCTACTACAGATCTTATACAAAGGATTTTTCCCGCCTGACTAAGCCATTGTATGACTGTATGAAGGAAAATAACACAGAAAAGAGGTAAACAAGGACAGCTGCCTAGTTGCCTAGTGGGACACATGTCACATGGACTGAGGAACACCATCAAGTAGTGTGCCACCTAGTCGACAAGCTGTCCAGCCCACCAGTACTCAGTTACCCTGACTTCTACCAACCATTTGTCCTCCATACTGACGCATCACAAGACGGCCTTGGAGCGGTGTTATACCAGCAGAGGGAGGACAAGCTGAAGGTAATAGCCTATGGCTCCAGAACACTTACTGCCCCAGAAAGAAATTATCATCTGCATTCTGGTAAATTGGAGTTCCTGGCACTAAAGTGGGCTTTGTGAGTGCTTTAGGGATTATCTGTTCCATGCTCCTTCCTTTGTTTTCTATACTGACAATAACCCGCTAACATATATACTGTCAACTGCAAAGTGAAATGCCACAGGGCAGAGATCTGCTAGCTGAGCTAGCAGATTTTAATTTCACTATTAAATACAGACCAGGCAAAGCAAACAGATGCAGATGGCTTGTCTAGAATGCCTTTGGATTTTGAGAAATACATACATCAGTGCACATAAGTCAGTAAGTGAGGAAACAGTGGGCGCCACTAAGCAGGGTATCCTGGTGCACCAGGAGGAGCCAACACCATTGTTGAGCTCAGTCACATTCTGTGCACTCCAAGAACAGGCAGATACAGAGAGGTTGGTCAGCACAGTACAGCAAATACCCAGAGACAAAATACGAGATGCACAACAGAAGGACCCAGTAATAGGAGGTAACCCTCGAACCCCATGGTGGACACCGGTGGTCAGGGAAGCCGTCCGACTGAAGAAGGAGGCCTTCCGGGTTATGATATCCGGTGGGACTCCGGAGGCAGTTGCAGGGTACCGACAGGCTTGAAGGGCAGCAGCCTCTGCCGTGATGGAGGCAAAGCAGCGAGTATGGGAGGAGTTCGGGGTAACTATGGAGAAGGACTTTCGGTCGGCACCAAAGTGCTTGTGGAAGACCATCCGGCACCTCAGCAGGGGGAAACGGGGAACCATCCAAGCTGTGTACAGTAAGGATGGGACCCTGTTGACCGCGACTGAGGAGGTTATCGGGCGGTGGAAGGAACACTTTGAGGAACTCCTGAACCCAACTACTACTCGCTCTTTGGTAGAGGCGGAGCTGGAGGCGGAGGAGGGATCATCGTCAATTGGCCTGGTGGAGGTCACTGAGGTAGTCAAACAACTCTGCAATGGCAAAGCCCCGGGGATTGATGAGATCCGTCCAGAGATGCTAAAAGCAATGGGTGTTGGGGGGTTGTCTTGGATGACACGCCTCTTCAACATTGCGTGGGAGTCTGGGACAGTGCCAAAAGAGTGGCAGACCGGGGTGGTGGTACCCCTCTTCAAAAAGGGGGACCAGAGAGTGTGTGCCAATTACAGGGGTATCACACTACTCAGCCTCCCGGGTAAAGTCTACTCTAAGGTGCTGGAAAGGAGGTTCGGCCAATAGTCGAATCAAGGATTGAAGAGGAACAATGCGGTTTTTGCGCTTCTTTTGGCCAAAAATGCAGCGTGATGTGGAGCATTTTTTGACAAATGTGTGTGAATGCATCAAGAAGAGGAAACTAAATCGAACAACACGCGCTCCAATGTTATAGATTGAAGAGTTGTTGTTTTGTTATAAATAGTGTCGTTATTAGGTTAGCTTGTTAGGCTAATGCTATGTGTTTGTCTGACTGTTGTGGAGAAGCCTGTTAGTTAGATAGTGGCGGTAATGCAATAAAATGGATGCCAACTGCCATAAAACCAAAAAAAAGAAGACTAACAGGATGAATCATTAGTGTTACGTCACTTCATATTGTCTCTGTATTTTAGGAGAAAGCTCGGGGAGTGTTTCACGCAGGCCAAGCCTCTCCAGCCCTGATGAGATAAGCTGCGGTGCATCAGGCCATTAGCGATGCCTATATTACCGCCTCCATGGCCGTTTACCTGCCTTATCTTTCCCATGCCGGGTTTGCTGTTGGTGCTGTGGCCTCTGGTGGCTGAGACACCATGAGATTCTGTAGGGGTTCTCTGCCATTTATTTTCACATGCTTGTTTTCGCCTGTTTCATGGCTAAATAGGGAGCTCGGCATTGTTTCTGTTTATTTCTAGTAGGAAAACTGAACTCTTATTTTCTAGTTAGTGGGGGGGAGTTTTGATTATTGTTTTGGCCTTCGAGACCCCGATGTAATTGGTTTATTAAACTGGAAACCGTTCAATACAGAACATTATGTTATAGTTAATTCTCTCCTGTCTTGACCACAGCAAATTTAGTGCTCGCCTGTGTTAGGGCCATTCCCCTAGTCCGTCCAAAAGGCCGTAAAAATGAGGTTTAGAGTATGTCCACAAGGATGAGGTTTGAATTTCTGAATACATTTTTTTAAATGAAAATTTCTAAAAACACGGACCCCTAACATTGTTTGAATTTTGGAACAAAGCTCTCTTGCATGCCTCTATGGTGAACCAAGAACCAGAACACAGAGGAGATATAAATGACTTGATGTAGATATGTGCTGCTTATTGTGTCACTGTGTGTAACAGGAAGACAGTGAAGACAATTTATAGTGCTCCAATGAACTCCACGCATCCATTCATACACTGATGGCAGGAGCTACCATGCAAGGTGCCATCTGCCCATCAGTCTAACCATTTAAACCCATCCATATATCAAGTAATAAATCAAATAAACCAAGCGTCATTCATCGCAGCGTTTGAAGGTCAGTCCAAAATTGAAGACCAGCCCAAGTTTAGGTCAAGGTTGAGGTCAAGATTATGATCAGGATTAGGGTAACATCCTGTGGGGGGAGGTTGTGGTCAAATACTAAGCTCTGCTACCAAGAGTAGGAATTAGGCTAAAAAATAAAAATATTTATGGAGCACATGGTAATGGTAAATGGCCTGTACTTGTATAGCGCTTTTCTAGTCTTCTGACCACTCAAAGCGCTTTAACACTACATCATTCACCCATTCACACCCATTCATACACTGATGACAGGAGAACCATACACAGTGACACCTGCCATCAGTAACTACCATTCACACACTGTAGTCGCAGCTACAGGAGCAATGTTGAGTTAAGTGTCTTGCCCAAGGACACAACGACATGCGGGTTAGCCGGGCCTGGGATCGAACCCACAACCCTCTGGTTGGAGGACGACCGTGCTCCCCACTCACCCACATGTCTGTTGTCTTTGGAATCTCCAATGATTGTGGAGTTTGGGGGAAGAGAGAAGGAAGAGATGATGTTGTAGCTGAGCTGTGTGGACAGTGGTTCAGGCTTGAGGTTATGGCAAGACAAACAATGGCCAGAGGAAGACTTCTTGCGCCTCCGATCATAGCTTATTTCAGTATTCAACAACAATTGAGTATAGCCAACAACATTATAGGAAAGCCAGGTTTATTACTGTAGCACATTTCAACAACAAGGCAATGCTAAATGCTTTACATAAAACCAATAAATGGGAAAAGAACAGGAAATTTAAAAATAGTTAAGAGCATTGATTTAAACATTAAAAACTAAAATTAAAATAATAACCAAGCTTAAAATAGAATGTAATTTTATAAAAATAAACTGTAAAATGCATCCACTTTATCCATCCAATTGAGTAAACAGAAAAGTATTCGTTCTTAATTTGAAGCAGATGAAAGTCTCATTAGACCTGCAACTTTCTGGGAGTTTGTTCCAGACATGTGGAGCAGAAATAGTCCAATATTTATTTTATATTGATATATATATTTATACACAGAACAAATAAACTACCTGTTATATTACTGCTATTGATAATACTGTTTAAACAAATAATTCACATAATGGTTTTGTGTGAGTTGGATAACATGCACTGTCAATTATTGGCTGTAACACATTGAAACCAAGTTTATGTAAGAGCGAAAACACTGGATTTAATTCTTACCTATTTATCATATGTATATCATTAACACAATTACGGAAATCGGATGGACAGCAGATTACTATTATTTTGTTCGAATTTATGTTTTAATTTGGACACCTGTATGCCTATGTACTGTATATATGATAATGTATTGTTCAAGTTATTTTTTTCCTGAAAATCCAAATGATGCTCTGACTGCAGTGTGAACTCCAGTACGTGTCTCAAGCAGACATGGGTTCGTAGGTATGGAAGTGAATTCCTTTTGAGCAGGTGATCTTCATCACCGCTCCATTCAAAGTGGTGTCCATAATCAACCTCATCATGCCCTCTGCTATGAACGATGGCCTAGAGATCAATACAGAGAGGGAATAGGACATTAGATTAGATTACAGATTTTCTGCATTCCTACAGGTAACAAGGCTTTTTGTTCTCTTTCTCCAAAAATGAGGGCCGGCCAAAGTGTCTAAAGTAAGGTTGAGGTAAAAGGTAAGGGTTATGAAAAAAACTCTACAGGAAATAAAAGTAAAGTTGATTATTTGCCAAGGTGAACAGACAAACTCCTATCCATCAAATATGACTAGGACCTTTTGAGGTCAGTACCCACACAATGTTAAGGCATAATAAGAGGACCCTTTAGGCAGGAAATAAATGTATAATGCCAATGTAATATCTCCTAATACTATTGTGTCATCTAGCCTCAACTTTCTCCCACTCTTAATAATCCTGCTCCCAAATTGAACATAACAATTTGAAGTGCTTTCAGAGCCATAAATAAAAAACGTTTTTTTGTCACACAGATATTTCAGCTCATCGTTTCATGCTGGTGAGACGAGGACAAGCACAAACACTGCACAAGCACAAACACTGCATAATTTCAGTGCATGCACTGGCTTTGACCTAGCCAGTGGAGCACGCTCAAATGCACTAGCATTAGCTCAAATGCACTAGCATTGAGCTTGCTCCACAGGCTAGGTCAAAGCCACTGCTACACTGTGCACATACAGCTGTTACGTTTGTCGGGGAACCATAGCAGTAATTGTACTGCTTTATCATGTTCAAGCAATACATGCTTAGTTTGCCAATTATGTTTAATTATTTGATATTCCAACACAATTTGAAAGTTCTTTGTAAGTGCAAAATATGAATAAAAACTGTATATTAATGCAAAAAAGGCACATGAAGCTAAGAAAAGTAAAATTTTGAATCAAGTAATCTTACTGTAAAACTCCAAATTTGATCATGCTGCGTTTGACATCATCCTTGAACTTGACAAACTTTCCCATGTTATCCTCATGTTCAACTGAGTGCAGCAGAGGAGTGTCAACAAAGGCCGGACACAGGGCGTTAATACGAACACCGTAGTTTCCCAGAGAGGATGCATCCTGCAAGAACATTTGAAATAAGTTGCTGGGCTTTTGAGCATTCTGAAAGACATCCCATCCTACAAAAGCTAAAGATAACCTTTTGCACTGTTGTTTCAGTGTTTGTGTGTGCTTTTCTTACTGCCATAGCTCTAGTGAAGCCAATGACTCCATGTTTAGTAGCAGTGTAGACAGGCTGGTGAGGTGAATGCACGAAGGCTGGATTATAAAGATAAAAGGAGACAAGAGAAGAAACTTGTGTTGAGCGGAGAAAAATCAATTCATGAATGAGCAGAATTCAACTTGATGTCACTCACAATGATTTCACTACAAGCATCTTTCAATTAACTCTTTACATTTCTTTCAAACTTGCAGGCTATATAATTATTCAGTTTCCACATCCCTGGTTCATTCCAAGGCACTTAAACTACATGTTTTCCCTCACTTGCAACTTGCATCCCTCATTACATCTTGTTCCCTATGCACAAGAGACACATGAGGGCCAAGGATCATAGCAAGGACAGGAAACCAGGACATATAAAAATAGAGGTCCTATCTTCAGAAGTCTCACGTGAAGTGACGGATCTTAATGGTGACAGCTGTCAGTAAGCTGTAAGTGCTGTAGACTTTTGATGATTGATTTTGATTTGAGTTTGTGTCTGCACATGTGCACTGGACTATTTGTAACAAACACTTTTATCATCACTGCTACAGAAGCAGTGTTTCCCCCCTTCAGCCAATTACCTGTTTAACAAACACACGCACATGAATAACATGCATTCCATATTTATACTGTGTACTCGGTCCTGCTATGAGGCAAGTAACCATTTCTACCGGCAGAATGAGTTTATTTATTCATAATTTGGTTCAATATTTATTCATTTTGTGATTGTAAATATGATTATAATGTTTTGGGCACTTTAAATTATTTTAGTAGGCTAAATGTTTGAGGAACATTGAAAAGAAAAGTTATTTGTGTCCCTTCTGTTGTTCAGATCTACAATTAACATTTTGAACTAGATCGGAAACCGGAAAATGACTATTACAGGAAGAGGCATCAACATATGCTAATGAGTGGTGAACAAAAATATGAGATCGGCTTCCATTCTTTAATTAAGCAACCATAACAGTTGTAGTGTACTGTCAAGGCATGCAAATGTAAAGATATTACTCATAATCATAATTCTAGACACGGCAGACACACAACGCAGCTCAATACACAGACACACATTCTTTCCTCTGAAATGTGGAGTATGCACCATGTTTGGACAAGTTTGTGTTTGTATTGAGAATGGCAAGTACGCATGCACGCATGCAGCATGCAAGCCTTAAGTTATCAAGCTCTTCTTATGTGGAATCAGCTTCCACTTTCAGTCCAGGGGGCATACACGGTCAGCTCATTTAAGATAAAGCTTAAAAACTTTCCTCTTTGATAACGCTTTTAGTTAGGGCTGTCTCAGGTTAGCCTACACCAGTTAAGCGTGTATAGGTCTAGACTGCCGGGGGACTTCTTACGACACACTAAGCTCCTCCCTCTCTGTCTCTGTCACTCACTCTCTCTACTTCTATAATAATTTCACATGTCAATAATTCAAATCACTAATTCAAGTTCTTCCCCCGGAGTTTTTGTGCTGTCTCGCCTCGCAGGTTTCCATGGATCATGGTTGTCTCCGGACCCTGTTCCTGCTTGCTGCGATGGCCAGCCTCAGGTTCTCTGCCCCTCTGGATTCCCACAACCTGCATTGTGGACTCAGCCTGTCGACCATTCCTCCAGCCTAATCAAAACATTGCACCCCCTGGTTCTTTTAGAATAAAGACCGTTTCTGCTCTATGTTCAATTCAATTCAATTCATTTTATTTTGTATAGCCCAAAATCGCAAATTACAAATTTGCCTCAGAGGGCTTTACAGTCTGTACACATACAACATCCTCTGTCCCGAAACCCACCATCGGCACAGGAAAAACTCCCCAAAAAATGAAAAAACCCTTCCAAGAGGGAAAAAAGGGAAGAAACCTTAGGGAGAACGTCAGAGGAGGGATCCCACTCCCGGGATGAACAGACTACAATGGATGCCATGTGTGCAGAATGAACAATGTATAATACATGCAATTCCAAGTGTTCTGCTCTTGGGTCCGGCACCACAACCAACATGACACAAATAGCTGATGTGCTATAAATATACTTTAAAAAAAATGTTTCTCAATAATCTCACAAAACTGCTATTTGTGTTCATAGGACAGCGCTGACATATTATATGGGCAAAGTGTTTGATTTTCAGTATGGGTGTAGTCAAAGTAAAGGTTCTACAAAACGTTTTCTTAGAGTTTTGAAAAAATACCTAATGCATGTGCATAGAGATCTGACCCGCACCCTCGCTTAAAATTAAATTTAAATGCCCTCAATTTCTTATGAAAAATAGGCTCCCACAGAGGGATACAGTAAACAGATAGCTATTCTGATTGTTTATAATGCAGCTGTTAATTATTTATAAAAGACTGACAATCGAGTGGTGGAAGTATTAGATATAATACGCTCGCACTTACACATGCCAATGTGGCTTGCAATCACAACTTTATTGTTTTCGTCTTTTGATGTTCCACAGTGACAACCTGCATCCTTTTTTAAAAATAAAAACCTACAGCACAACCAAGATCCAACAGAGAACAAGAAACCTCTGAGCCTGGCAGTGTTGGTTATACAAACTCAGGTAACCAAAAGATCATAGAACTTGATGACCACGTCATTCTGTTAATCCTTTATATCTTACAAGCACCAACTTACCTCTTGAACAGAGCTGTATTTGTGTGTGTTCTATTATTTAAACACTAATGTTATATATGGAGTAGTATTTGTTTTAATGGCACTTCAGTTCACTTCAACTTTCCTGAACAAAGTGAACAGCTTTTCGTTGTCACAGAAGTGATAGCACCTCTTTAGACACAACATGGTGGAGATAGTAAATAGTTTGTCTGTGTCTCATTTGACTAATGCTCTCACCATTTTTATTTAATTGACAGATCAGAATATCTCTAAAGACAATATCACAAAAGCATCATTTCAAATCTTGCGTTTGCCAGAGATATGGTCATATGTATTCTGGCATCAATTCAGTCAGCACGGAAAAGCATAATAAAATTACAATTTGGCCAGTCAACTAATTGAGAAAGGGGGGCAGCACTGACCCAAACAGGTCATCAATGCACACCTTAGCTTTTAATTATTGAGACAGTTTACATTACATATTTTTAGATTCCTTAAAATGTTATGCTTTGATTCAACAATTGCCAGCCAGAGAGACACAAGTGTTCAAAATGTGTTTTGTAATTCTGTCATGAAATGTTCTTTAAAAATGATACATTTATCAATAATATCTTCCATTTTGAAAGGGGAACTGACGTTTCACAGTAAAAATGTCACAAATTAGTAAATATTGTGTTTCTAAGTTGAATAAATCTGTGCATGTACATGTAGGTGTGTGGGCATGTGTTACCTGCCATTGAGGAGACATTGATAATGGCGCCTCCTTCTTTCTTGTACTCTTTACTCATCTGTTCAAGTGCCAAGTATGTCCCTTTAATAACAGAGGTCTAGAAAGTTTAAGAGACAACATGGGCAAAATGGTTATTTTCACAACACGCAAGAGCAGAACATACACAGAAGGGAAACGAAAGTAACATATATGTGAATTTACTGATAGATAAGATATTTGTGTTTGTGTCACAGTTCAGCTCCACACCCTCCTCACCGTATTTTTCTGCCAATTCCACTTGGTCAGTCTAAAACCCTGTTCACACACCTCCTGATCACTAATCAAGTCCTTATTTAGTCTCCTGCCTCTCTCTCACACACACACACACACTTTGCCAGATTGTTCTTCTGGCAAAGTGTGCGCTTCGATGCCAGACTCTCCAGCGCTTGTTTTCAGACGGGTCTCCTGTTGCCCCACAGTTACTCTTCCTGCTGCTTCCGGAGATTTAAATAAAAGGTCAAAAGATCCCTGGAATCATTTGGGTCCAAACACCAACTGTTACATTGCAATCTGTTTATTCATGGACCCAGCACACACTCGTTCACCAGTCAGCTGGTTTGAGAGGATCGATGAGGCAGCTCGAGGCATGACTGTGGGGCACCTGCGAATGGGAGAGACGCACGCCAGCCTGCTCTTTTGTCCTGTTTTTTGGAGAGCTACGCAAGGTGTTTGGGGCGGTCTCTAGGGGCAGGGGACAGTGCTGGATTATACTCTTGAGTTTCGCACAAGAGCACGCCTTACCAACTGAAACTCAGCAGCACAGTTTGAGCGGCCCTCCGCCGGAGTCAGAGCGGTCCTCCCGCATTCGCGTCCGCTTCTGCTTCTCTTATATCGATTCGGCCACCGGGAAACCCTGTACTGTCCGCGCCACCTCTCAATATGATTTTAATGGTCTGGCCCGCCTTCGATCGAAGTGGATAGTATCTGGCCCGAACCTAAAATGGGTTTGACACCCCTGGCTTAGAGGAACCAACATCTCGAGTGGACAGACGCATCCAGGCAAGGCGACAGGAGCGACGCAAGACGCCCTTTCACCCGCCTTCAAGGCGCTCCAGCAGCTACCAGCCTCATCCCAGGGCCTCAACTAGGGAAGGCTGAACCAATCGAGGTAGGGCGCACCAGTCTCACTACAGGGGGGCGTGAGCGCCTGTGGCCAGGCTGGTCACTTCATATCCTGGTGCCCATCGCCCTGGACTGGGGAACGTAACTCAATAGACCACCCCAGTCCGTATACTACTGTCTGGTAACCACCATGTGGTTTCTTATCCTGCAGTCATCCATTAATCCATTAATCCTGAGATAACCCTGGCTCCGCCGCCATAACCCCCACATTGACTGGGCCACAGGAGCCATCCTGGGATGGAGTTCGTTCGTCACCGGATTTGCCTGAAACAGGCTGCTGCAGCTCAGCAGTCAGACGGCCCCAGCTATGCTCCAGATGGATTAAGGGGTACCTACTGAATACGATGACTATCGGGAGCTATTCAGTAAGGTCAAGGCCTTATCTCTGTGTGGTGGCGGGCGTGGTTTTGGCTCAGCTGCAGAGGGGAGTGGTTCAGGGAACGGTGCCAGGTGAAGGCATAATTGGCCTCAGGTGGAGGAAATCATTGTGGCTTGTGCCTGTATTTCAGTAGTGGAGATCCGGCGCCAGCGAGAGAGACCGAGCCTGACGTGGAGGATTTACACTGCACTAAAAGACAGAATAAAGTTGGTTACCGACACTACCTCTTGTATCCTCGTCATTCCGGGACCGCCCCAAGGATCCGCAAATTACACTCTGGCTCCACATCGACCCTACGACTGCGTCATTAACCTAATCTGCACCTGAGAGAGGCCATGGAGGCGTACATAAATTCCTCTCTTGCTGCTGGGATCATTCGTCCCTCTTCTTCACCTGCATGTGCGGGGTTCTTCTTCGTAGGGAAGAAGGATAAGTCTCTGAGGGCTTGCATTGACTCTCAATGATCATTTAGAAACGAACGCTACCCACTCTCTCTCATCTCTTCGGCCTTTGAGTTGCGGGGGGCTACCACCAAGCTAGACCTGCGTAGCGCCACTTGGTCCACATCCAAAAGGGTGATGAGTGGAAGACAGCTTTCAACACCCCCACTGAACATTATGAATACCTGCTCATGCCCTTTGGTCTCACAATGTCCCAGCCGTCTTCCAGGTCCTAGTGAATGATGTGCTAAGTGACATGTTAAATAAGCAGGTGTTTGTCTACCTAGACGAAATTCTGATTTTCTGTAATTGCCAAGAGGAGCACATTCACCATGTCCAAGCAGTCCTTCAATGTCTCCTGAGGAATTCTCTGTTCGTGAAGGCAGAGAACTGTGAATTCCACGCCTCATCTGTCTCCTTTCTGGGGTACATCATATGAAAGATGATCGTGCAGATGGATCCTGCCAAGGTGTCAGCTGTTACGTCCTGGCCTGGCCCTGACTCACGTAAACAACTGCAACGATTCTTGCAACGCCAAACTTCTACCGGAGGTTTATCCGCGGCTATAGCACCATAGCACCCCCACCTCCTCGGCTGAGGAGGCCTTTAAGAACCGGTGGGGGTGAGGGCCATCCTATCCCAGCGGGCTGCCAGTGACCAGAAACTCCACCCAAGTGGCTTCTTTTCTAGGCTCTTAGAAGCTGAAAGAAACTGCGACGTTGGTAACCGAGAGCTGCCTGCTGTTAAGCTGGCCCTTGAAGAGTGGTGCCACTGACTGGAGGGGACCAGTCTTCCCTTTTGTGTTGGACTGATCACAAGAACCTAGAGTACATTCAGTCTGCAAAGATACAAGACTGAACTACTTCTATTCCCGGGAAAAGATTCTCCTACCCAGGACTGTCAACTTTGACAACTCTGTGTTAACGCCCATTTTGATTGCTAGGAACCTCGGTGTGACACAGACAACTCTCCCTGACTCCCACATTACAGCGACAACACAATTCTAGGTCCACGCTCTACAACATCAGGAGAATACGTCACCTTCTGATTTAGGCTTTTTCACCTGCCGCCGTGTAACGCTCTCCTGGCAGGTCTCCCTGCCACCGCCATTCGAGTTCTGCAGCTCATCCAGAATGCAGCAGCTCAACTGGTCTTTAACCTTCCGAAATTTACCCACACTACTCCACCGCTCCACTCTCTTCACTGGCTACCAGTGACTGCCTGCATCCATTTCAAAACATTGGTACTCACGTACCATGCTGTGAATGGATCAAGATCAAAAAGTCCACCCCCCAAGACCAGCCCGGTCTTAGCCCCTGTCCTCCTGATTGCCTGTTTGTCCCTCAGAACCTGATGTCCGATATCCTCCATTGAGCAGTGAGTGAACAGTTACACCTCATAGGACAAGGAGATAAGAGGATTGAGATATGCAGCCGCTTTCGTTACTGTGACGATTTTATCTAGTGTTACTTCCCATTTTTAGACCACAGACTCATGCGTCAGATTATTTTACTCCCTGACTTTGTTTAGTTGCCCGCCATTTCTTTCATCAAACCCCATTTGACTTAAACTTCGTACGCTGCAGTGCTTCCTTGAATGTTTCTATCGTGTGCTACTTTGGTTCCTTCTTGTGCTGTTTAATTTGAGAACACTATTCAGTAAAGCTGTGTCTCTTTTGCAACAAATTACTCCTATTTTCTAGTCTCTATGTGAGTTGAAAGAAAAAGCTTTCTTTCTGCTGCAGAAATTAGAGGCTTTATTTGCAGTCTGTGCCTGCACAACCAATAACCAGAATACGGTGAATACACTAACAAATACTCCAGCTACCATACTTGGGACACAGAGTTCTCCAGGTTTTTGGATATAGGGTTTTGATGCTCAAAACACATACACGTACCTAATATAAGTAGACCTAAAAGCAGGAACTTGTGCCGGTTCAAACACGAACAGTTACACCTCATAGGACAAGGAGATAAGAGGATTGAGATATGCAGCCGCTTTCGTTACTGTGACGATTTTATCTAGTGTTACTTCCCATTTTTAGACCAGAGACTCATGTGTCAGATTATTTTACTCCCCGACTTTGTTTAGTTTCCCGCCATTTCTTTCATCAGACCCCATTTTACTTAAACTTTGTACGCTGCAGTGCTTCCTTGAATGTTTCTATTGTGTGCTACTTTGGTTCCTTCTTGTGCTGTTTCATTTGAGAACACTATTCAGTAAAGCTGTGTCTCTTTTGCAACAAATTACTCCTATTTTCTAGTCTCTATGTGAGTTGAAAGAAAAAGCTTTCTTTCTTCTGCAGAAATTAGATGTTTTCGTTGCAGTCTGTGCCTGCACAACCAATAACCAGAATACGGTGAATACACTAACAAATACTCCAGCTGCTATACTTGGGACACAGAGTTCTCCAGGTTTTTGGATTTAGGGTTTTGATGCATAAAACACATAAAGGTACCTAATATAAGTAGGCCTAAAAGCATGTTAGGTCTAAAACTTGTGCCGGTTCAAACACGCTCCACAAGAAAAAAATATGAAGAATGTAAGATGAACCCCTTTGGGACAAGCAGCCAATAATGTGCGTTGATGAGGAATTTCTTCCTCTAAAAGTTCTTAAAGCCTAAATCATACACCCCAAAACATAATAATACAATAACAATACAATAATACAGATACCGTGCCCACGTTTTAATCAATCTTGTAAAAACCTTTAGCCTATTGTCCGTCTGTTTTCCATTGGTAGTCAGAAGTAACAATTCTCCATTCTGAAGGCTTCTCAATTCTACTCAGCAGAAATACAGTTTTAGGCGTTTGGGCTATAGTGTCGTGAATGGCTAAGAGTTGATGTAAGAGAGGAGTCAAACCGGTACAATGCTGTGAAAAAGTATTTGATCCTTTCCTGGTTTCTTATTTTTTGGCATATTTGTCACACTTGAATGTTTCAGATCATCAACCAACTTTTAATGAGACAAGAAGTCAATACAAAATACATTTTTGAAAAAAGCTATCCAAACAATGGCGGCTCAGGGAGGGGCGCTAAGAGGGTGTGGTTAGCGCCCCTCCCTGAGCCCTGAAATACATTTTTTTAAAACAGTAAAAAAATTAAAGCTGATAGCGGCATTGTTGAGCCCTCACACATCCACAAACACCGAGGGTATGAACCATGAATGTAAACGATCAGCAATAAAACAAGTGCCTATATGCTATCGCGTTTGTGACGTGACTGTCATATTAAATGGAAGTCTCAAAAGCAGCTCGAAAATCACTGCTGAGTGATTCAAAGTGGGTCCAGGAGGACTGGAAATAAATTTAAACCAAAAGGTGTGATCCAATTGTATCTATAATAAGACTTCACGTAACATTCATTTAATGTATATTACAGCCTCGGTCTGGAACAAGCAAAATAATTCCTCTGCTATTGATCAAAATGCAACCACAATTTGAAAACTAGTTATCCAATTTTTGCTTTTCAAAACATTTTCTTTCTATTCATAGAACCATGCTTACATCCATAGTTGTCAGTAGGTGGTGCTATGACTATCTGTTGATATAAGCAAGCAGAAGTCCTCAAACTAGGACACCAATCAAGCTTGTTAAGATCAGTGTCAAAATTGTATAATACAACCATATTTAGTACTTTAAATGTGTGTTCCAAGTGTAGTTAATTCTTTGGTGTTTAAGGGAATTAAAAATGCCATCGTTTTTCATGGCAAAGAATACATCGCCATGGCAATGCAGGCGTTAAATGCTTCGTGGGCTGGCATTATGAACATGTTATGTTTGTATGGTAATTTCTTTTCACCGACAGAAATTTACATAATAAAATGTTGGGATGGAAATTAATTTAGGCCTTAACTACCATCATGAACAAGACGTTTTGGGCAGATTGGATAATGGACCTTTGAGTTAAAACAACATTTTGAGTTAATGTCATGCAGAAATGGGATTGCCATGAGAGCCCTACCACGTCAATATTTTCATGCCAAATTGTGGAAATGACAAAGCCCTTAAAAATTTCTCATTTGAGAAAACCCCCCCGCAAATAATTCACCCAGAAGTGAAAGGGAGAAAAACTGTGCTCCCTATTAATTAATAAAAGTATACTGATCTAACATGCAATTGCATGTAAGGGATTATTATCAGAGCATTATTTCAGCAGAGAACATCACAACATTTTTGGTTAGCCCCATTTCACTGAGATGGAGATACGCTTGGCCATTAACTTAGTTACAAGTAAGATTTGAATAAATTGTGGTTTTGTTTGCATATTTTGCCGGCAGGCCCATGCTTGTTTTCAGTAGGATGAGACGGAGAACTTTAGCGGCCAAGTAAATACGTCTGCTCCTGGAGGTGTATTTGGCCACGAGGATCACTGAGAGCGTGTACAGAGTACATACTGGGACATGTACGAACAGTTCTGTGATGTGAGGGGTTCGTCTTACCAGATTGACCTGTATGGTCTTTTCCCAGTTCTTTTCATTGTTGATGCCGGCGTTGTTGATAACGATGTCCAGACGACCAAATTGGTCTACCGTCCTGTGAAATGCATCTATTCCACAAAAACAAAAAGCAATCAGTGAATGACTTGAGACATTGATGGAAATGTGTTAAATGACTAAATCGAGCAATTACAATTACACTTTTGGAAAATCTCTCTTGAAATGTCTTGGGATAGCACACGTGTTTTGTTTGCTTGTGTATGTTAGAGAAATTACTCCAGACATGTTGCTTAAATATCAATGAAAAAGTCAACATGAATTTGAGGGAATACACTCATCTTATACAATGAGTCACCAGCAGATTGTCTATGTGAGCAGAGAGAGGCAGTTGGATGAAAAGCTGGAGAGAAACCTGAGGTGGAAAAACCTAAATGGGTTGTACCACATTCAAAACTTAGATACCTCGCAATTTGAAATAACGAAACCTGCTTTTAATAGATCTGCTTGACGAACACACACATCTATAAATGAATCACACACATTGACGGCGCATACACAAATATCACATGCACTACCTACAATTGCACGCACTATGTACCTGCAGGTGTTACTGTATGATAGCTCCTGTCATCAGTGTATGAATTGGTGATAAATAGTGTTATAATAGTGCTTTGAGTGGTTGAAAGATTAGAAAAGATTTATGAATACATCTACAGTCCATTTACCATATAAACATCATTCTGTTCTTACCACGCACACACACACACGCACACAGACACACACAATCAACAGCTCTATGCAGCCCTGAAAACTTTGTTAATGTCGCTCTCACTCTCTGACTCACTGACGTTTATTCCCCTACGAATACGCCAATTCTCTGCTTCTACTCGTTCTCACCCAGTCATGACCACAATTGTACAGATACAATTTGCTCATCTGCATAAGAGGAGAACATAGTGAGCATTTAATGTACAGTTAATGTAGTCTATGGTGGAACTGTTAGCAGACACAATTGACACACAATTTTAAGTAAATCATAGTATTTTCTTTAGGTTCAATTTCTTTCATTATAAGCAATTACAATACGCAATCTCCTGTCTGTGTTTGTTTTACCTCTCAGTGCATCGCCATTGGACACATCACATGGGATAAAGTAGCAGTTGCCCTCTCCAAACATAGCATCCAGCTCTGTCTTGCTCTCTTCCCCACATGCCTTGTTGAGGTCGACCACAGCCACCTGAAGAATGTCTGTTTTATTTATGTTTGCATGTCTCTCCTGCTCTCTGCAAGTTCCGCCCAATGGCACACACTGACACGTGCACACACACACAGGTCAGCACACTCGCATGTCGGAAAATGCTGGTCTGCGTCCGTCCGTATGTTTATACAATTTTTTTTTTTTATTATTGCAGTCAGTCTTGTACTTTCGTCACACGCCTAATGCATATGCATATATATTTTTCTCTTTAAAATAAGCTACAACTGCCTGATTTTTTTACTGCTGGATGCTTTGTATGTGCGGTACATTCCAGATGGCATCTACCACACTTCTGGGAATGACACAGTGCAAACAGCTGGTCTCCTGTTTGTTTTTGACCCCTGAAGGGTTGGGCCACGGTTTTACCAGTTCAGTTGCATACTGAATGGGGACGAGTAAACTATACATCTAATAGTCAGACATCATTCTTTGATCACAGTGTACTGCTGACTTCCTCTGCCTAGCTCTGTGGTTTGACAAGTGTTGCTGTGAACAGCTCAGTCAGTAACGGAGCACTTCTCAGAGAACACAAATACAAAACGGATGACATGACACTGCAATTAGTAGAGAGGATTGTGAAGGAAGTGTAACTGTTTCAAAATTCATTTTGCTCTTCCTTTCTTGCATAGCAAAATGCATGTTTCTTTTATTGCCAAATTATTATTCTTTTTAGACTCATCATCTAAGATGAAGAACACTGGCCCTATTTCTACATATTAACTTAAAAACCTTTGATAGACACAGATGTTCAGTGACAGTAAAATAGGAACTAGCAAAGCATTGCTAGTTCAATTGCATTGAATGTGAAAAAGCAATTTAGTTTCCCAGTGTTTTTGTAGTTGAATAAATAAAACCCCTGCAGGGGGTTCAGTCTAGTGTGTGGTTGTGCAGTAGGGATAAGTCTTGTGAATTGCACCTGAGAACACATGGAAGTAGCTTAAACAATAAACGACAACAGTTATGTTAAGCACCATTAGGTGATTCTAGTTTTTAAATGTAGACAACTGCAAAGAAATAAATTAACCCTAAAGGCATATATACCATTAAACTCCAAGTTACAAATGTAGTTTAAATAAAGGCCGACTGAGCTGTACTGACCTTAGCTGAGCTCTGCAGTAGTCTCTCGACCACGGCTCTTCCAATGCCCTGCGCACCCCCTGTTACAAGAGCCACCTTTCCATTAAGAGACATGTTCCGAGTGCAGAAGCAAAGCCCTTACACCTCTCTGTTCTGTCTCTCCCACTTCTCCTTCCCCTGTCTTCACGCCCGTCTTACTTTATCTGACAGAATTGATTTTTTTCTATCCGTCTATGTGTGTTCATGCCCTTAACTGCTCTCGCTGTAACACAATCATAGGCTTTCTCAGCTTTGTGTGTGTTTTTTCTGTTTTAGCTGAGACGTTTTTTCCCTCCCTTTTTCCCTCTCTCTCTCTCTCTCTCTCTCCCTCTCTCGCTCTCTCTAAGTTTATCAGCCTATGCAAACACAGTGTGTTTGTGGGCACTGTGTCGAAAATAGAGAGGTAGAGAGTTAAAGGCTAACTGTAGGATAACAATAACAACTTTTATCCAGTTAGTTGTACCTGCCCCCTGTGCCCTGTCCCTCGTACGTGGCTAATTGAGTTAGCCGGATAATTTTCAGGATGAGATGACGTAGATCAGGCTTTTCGGTTCCCCGAAGCAAGTTTGTCTAAATCACCATAGCAACACATCAAAAAACTCGAACCTGCTCCGGTGCAGGTTCATCTGAGCTGCTGAATTAGTTCATCACTCCCGGAAAAAAGGGCAGCTCACTTCACTGAAGGAGCAATATCAGTTAGATTAACGTTTTGTAGGAAGAGACTTCTTTGAGATCACAAAGACCCGTTTAGCCGCGATGACGTCCTGTATGAGCGCTACAGATGCTGAGGACAAGTGTTAACCTTTCCTGCCTGTCCGTCTCTGACCGTAGTTGGAGACTGCAGGGGAGACTTCGTTCTCTGCTCCAGGGCCAAGTATTGCCTGTTGGTAATACTTCGGGGTTAATACCCTTCACTTTCCTTCCTCCTGCCGGTTAGTGAATAAAATGCCCACTGTATACTTTCTTTGAGGATTTATTGAGCACATTTTCTCCGGTCGCTACGTCCACACACAACATTAACAAAAACTCCGCTCCTTCTCTCCCACTCGCTCACACCTGCTCCGTACGTGCTGCTCTTAAAGGGGCCGCACCATTTTACAACACAAGGAATAATTTATTTAGAAGAAGATTTCCCTGTTACGTTACTCTTCGTAAAGTTCTGTTGGTTTATATTATTTCACTGCTTACATTTCACTGCTTCAATTGATCAAATGTCTGAATATGAATGATGGATATATAATGATTCTCCCACACACATATAATAAAACTCCTAGTTCTATATGGTCATCTACACATACATATGATACATAAGCTGATACAGTACATATATCCTATTCATGTCACGGATGTTGCATGGGGAAAAAGGCAGGACTCAAACGCAGAGTTTGCGGAGTCTCAGGGCCGGTACTGGCGGGGTCGGAGGAGCGGGTCGGGGAACGGGAACAGGAGATCGCTGCGGCCCAGCGGGCACGGGAGGTTGCTGCGGCCCAGCGGGGAGGGGAGATCGCTTCTTCCGCCTGCCAGGACTCCTCCTCCTGGGGTTTAAGAGGTCCCGGAGCTCGAGACAAGCCCTTTGATAGCTCCTAGGACCGAAAATAAAGTCTGTTTTACGCTGCCAGAAGAGACTTCTTACGTCCAGGTAGCCCAGTCCGAAATCTGGAAGCGGGTCTGCTGAGTTCCTTTGTGGTCGCGTCATTCTGTCACGGATGTTGTGTGGGGGAAAAGGCAGTACTCAAATGCAGAGTTTGCGGGAAACAAAAAAGACTTTTATAGTCAAAGATTCCAAAAAGGCAAAAAAGGCAGGAATGCAGACAGGACCATGGAACATCCAGAACATTCAACAAGGACCATCCAGGACCATAGACAATGACGCGACAAGTGACAAGAGACACACACTGTTTAAATACACTAGGGAGGTGCAGGTGATTGGACACAGGTGGAAACAATCAGACAATCACAGGGGATGACAGGACAAGGCAGGAAGTGAAGTCACCCGGGGACACGAGTGGCAGAAAACTACAAAATAAGACAGGACGTGAACCCAAACCGTGACAATTCATTCGTATCAATTTGATTCTTTGGTGTTGTTTTCATCTACAAAGAGTTAATCATTATTCTCATTGGATGATGATGCATTCCATGAAGCCTCCAGCAAGCAGGCACATTTGAAGAAATATAATCTGATTGATTAGAGTGACGAGGCACTTAAATGAGCTTATACATTTTACCAACACGCATAACGTTAACTTGTTTGCAAAACAAGCTTGTAGCCTCGCAGGGTGTCAGTTTTTGCCATGATTATATGATTCACTTTATTTTATTTTGTATTGCACAATATCGCACATTTTCCTCAGAGGCCTTTATGGTCTGTACACATGTGACATCCTCTGCCCAGAAACCCTCACATCGGCACAGGAAAAACTCCCCAAACAATGAAAAAACCCTCCCAAGAGGGAAAAAAAGGAAAGAAACCTTAGGGAGAATGTATAACACATTCAATTCCTATGACAGAAATTATTCAAGTAATTGTGAGCAGCAAGCCAGGCACACGGCAGGACCACTGCAGGAGCAACCACCATCAGATACAACCACCATCCACAGAAGCCTGTGGGGAGGGAGAGCACAAAGACTTTAGGAGAGGGTAATGTTGGTTTATGAGTACAGTAATATGATTAATATTTAAAATAAAAATGATAATGATGGCAGAAGCAGGTGTCAGCAGGGCCACGGCAGGTGTCAGGACCAGGGTCCAGAAGAAAATGTGATCTACGGAGACCTGCTAGGGGAGAAAGCACAAAAAAACTCTTGGAAAGAAGCTGAATTAGTCATGTGCATTAATAAAACGTGAATTATTGTAGAAAGAGCGTGAGAGAGGAGCTCGGTGTGCCGAGTCCCCCGGCAGTCCAAGCCTATAGCAGCTTGACTAAGGGCTGGTCCGGGCTAACCTGAGCCAGCCCTAACTATAAGCAAAATCAAAGAGGAAAGTTTTAAGTTTTACTTTAAAAGAGCTGACCGAATCTGCCCCCCGGAGTGAAAGTGGAACCTGGGTTACACAAAAGAGGAGCTTGATAACTGAAGGCTCTGGCCCCCAGCCTACATTTTAAAACCATAGGAACAACAAGTAACCCAGCATCTATGGAGCGCAGCTGCCTTGTAGGGAAATAAGGTGTTACAAGCTCTTTAAGATACAACGGTGCCTCACCAGCAAGTGCCTTGTGAGGAGAACTACCTTAAAATCTATTCTTGATTTAACAGGGAGCCAGTGCAGAGAAGTTAATACAGGAGTGATATGATCCCTTTTCTTGGTTCTTGTTAATACACGTGCTGCAGCATTCTGAATCAACTGGAGAGGCTTAAGAGATTTACAAGAGCAGCCCGATATCAAAGAATTACAGTAGTCCAGTCTGTAAGTGACAAACGCATGAACCAATTTTTCTGCATCACTTTGAGACAGGAAGTTCCTGATTTTTCATATGTTACGTAGATGAAAATAGGCAGTCCTTGAAGTCTTCTTTATATGCGAGTTGAAGGTCATATCCTGGTCGAAGAGAACTCCCAGATTCCTGACGGTGCTGCTGGGTACCAGAGCAATTCCATCCATAAAAAGTGTATCACGTGACAGCTGGCTTCGAAGGCGCTCTGGGCCTATCAAGATAACTTCTGTCTTGTCTGAGTTTAGCATCAGGAAGTTGCTGGTCATCCAAGTTTTGATGTCTCCAAGACATTCTTAAAGTCTAACAAAAGATCGCCCAAAGGAAGCATATAGAGGGTAAATAAAATCGGTCAAAGTACAGAACCTTGTGGGACACCGTGGCCAACATTGGCCATAATCGTTGAAGTTTCCGCACAGTTTGCTTTAGGTTCCGTGTTTCAGGGCTATACCAAGGCGCAAACTTTCTTCTTGTTGCTGTTAAAAACTATTCAGACATCATGATAGAATCATAAAACTGATAAGTCTACATTGCTGAGGTGATAGGTTGATGAAAACAATGTCATTCAATGCATTCTTTCATATTCTTTGTTTTTCTTTGTTAACATTCTCTCTTCCTGCAAAAGCTTTAAAAGTGAAGAAAAAGTAATAACTTGGTTTGAACAAACCAGGTTGGAAAACTACTCAGAAATCATGATACCATCAGAAAACTGATAAATGTACTTTCCTGAGGTTCTAGCTTGATTAAAACACTGTTAAACAATGCGTTCTTGTATGTTGTGCGTTTCTAAGCCTTTTCGCAGCCTGCAAAAGCTTTAATAGTAAAGAAAGCATAAAAAATTAGTTTGAACAATCCAGGCTGAAAAAACTATTCAGAAATCATGATATGAAACAGATAAATGTACTTTCCTGAGAAGCTAGTTTGAGGAAAACAATGTTAACCAATGCATTCTTGTGTTCTGTGCGTTTCTAAGCCTTCTCTCGGCCTGCAAATGCCTTAATAGTGAAGAAAGCAACAAAACTTAGTTTGAACAAAAAAGGTTGGAAAACTAATCACAAATCATAATACCATCAAAAAACATAAATGTACTTTCCTGAGGTGCTAGTTTGATGAAAACACTATTACCGAGTGCGTTCTTGTGTTTTGTGCGTTTTTAAGCCTTCTCTCGGCCTGCAAACGCCTTAAGAGCGAAGCAAGCATAAAAACATAGTTTGAACAAAAAGGGTAGGAAAACTATTCACAGATCATGATACCATCATTTAACAGATAAATGTACTTTCCTGAGGTGCTAGTTTGATGAAAACACTGTTAACCAATGCATTCTTGTGTTCTGTGCGTTTTTAAGCCTTCTCTCGGCCTGCAAATGCCTTAATAGTGAAGAAAGCACCAAAACTTAGTTTGGACAAAAAAGGTTGGAGAACTATTCACAAATCATGATACCATCATAAAACAGATAAATGTACATTCCTGAGGTGCTAGTTTGATGAAAACAGTGTTAACCAATGCATTCTTGTGTCTTGTGCGTTTAGAAACTTTTCCGAAACTTCCTCGATGGGCTCGAAAGGAGCAAGGGAGAGACCTTCTAATACGATGGCCAGATCCCAAGCTGGTACCCTCGTGCGAACTGCAGGCCTCAGCCTCAGGGTGCCACGAAGGAAGCGAGATATAAGTGGGTGTCTCCCAAGGGAACCTCCACTTGAAGGGGCGTGGTAAGCAGGCTAAGGGCCGCCCACATACACCTTCAGTGTGGAGTGGGATAACCCTGTGGAGAGACGGTCCCTGCAGAAAATCCCAGCACTGTACCAACCGGGCAGTTGACTGGGTCCTGCTGGCGCTCTCCACACCAAGAGGTGAAAAGTTTCCACCTCGCGGCATATAACTTCCTCGTGGAGGGAGCTCTGGATTGGAGGATGGTCTCAACGACCTCAGCCGAGAGACCAGAATCTATGAGCTGGGCCCCCTCAGAGGCCAAGCCCACAGCCTCCATAGCTCTGGACGGGGGTGAAGGATCGACCCACTCGCCTGAGAGAGCAGATCTCTCCTGATCGGTATCTCTAGGGGAGAGCCGTCGAGGAGAGATACTAGGTCCGAAAACCATACTCGGGCCGGCCAGAACGGGGCTATAAGCAGGAGACTGAGCCCGTCCCGGCGAACCCTCTCCAGAAGTCCTGGAAGCAGAGCGATCGGGGGAAAAGCGTACAGGCGTGACCTCGGCCACGGATGTACCATAGCATCCAACCCCAGTGGGGCTGGCTGGCTGAGAGAGAACCACAGTGGACAGTGTGATGTCTCTCGGGACGCAAATAGGTCTACCTCGGCACGACCGAAATGTCCCCATAGGAGCTCCACCACCTCGGGGTGAAGACTCCACTCCCCGGGCCTCGGCCCCTGCCTCGACAGGATGTCTGCCTCCTGATTCAAATACCCCGGGAGATAAATAGCTCTGAGAGAGAGAATTTTCCCCTGGGACCACAGAAGGATCTGACGTGCCAGCCTGTAAAGCGGGCGAGAACGCAGACCCCCCTGGTGGTTGATATAGGAGACCACCGATGTGTTGTCTGTCCGGACAAGAACATGGTGGCCTCTTAGGTCCGGGAGGAAATGTTTCAGGGCCTGAAACACTGCCAACATCTCTAGACAATTTATGTGCCATAGACGGTGATGGTCCTCCCACAGACCCTGAGCGGGGCGACCACTCATGATCGCCCCCCAACTCGTGAGAGAAGCATCTGTCGTTAGCATTACGCGACGACAAGGAGCTCCCAACACAGGGCCTTGGGACAGAAACCAAGGATCTTTCCACATAACCAGGGCGCGATGACACCGTCGCGAACTCATGATCATGCGAAGCGGATTTCCCCTCGGGGAGAATCCTCTGGTTCTGAGCCACCACTGTAACGGTCTCATGTGCAGGAGGCCAAAAGGTATCACGTTGGACGCAGCCGCCATGAGACCCAACAGTCTCTGGAACTGTTTTACAGTGGATGACCGGCCTAGCTTGACTTGATGTACTGCGGCGAGAATCGAAGCAACACGAGCAGGTGACAATTGTGCCTGCATAGTCGTCGAATCCCACACTACACCGAGAAAAGTGGTTCTCTGTAATGGAGAAAGAACACTCTTCTTGGCGTTGAGTCTCAACCTCTTGATGTGAGCAAGAACGACATCTCGATGCCGAACCGCCTGATGTTCCGATTGAGCTAGAATTAACCACCAGGAACTCTACTAAGGGAACCAGCCTCTCGAGGCTGGCCTCTGGATGAACATCCCGAGTGACAGACACAGCGCCCTGTAACATACTGGCAGGAAACAGCTGGTCTGAACACTCCACAACCCTCCTCGGAGGGGGCGAGCGCCCCTCGGGAAATCGCTCGCCGAGTCTCTCTACGCCCTGTGTAGGCAGGGTTAGTAGAACAGACCCCTGAGGGCATCGGGAAAGACAGGGCACCGTGTTCTTGTGCGGTGAACTCAAGTCTCTCCCGATGGGGACCAACCCTCAGAGTCCTGACGTTCAGCCCGTCAGGACTTTTTCGACGCGGCCTTCCTGGCGACAATGACTGTCTTCAGATCAGTCCTGCCTCGAGAAAGGCCGTCTTCTCTGGATGGGAGAGCCGGTGCTTTAAGTGAA